GCAACAAGGCGGGGAGAGAGGGAGGGAGACCTTCCTGAGCTGTGCTGCGCAGTTTGTAACGCAAGTGTTATCTCAATAGGAACAGGAATCCAACACCTTCCGTGAACTCCGTGACACATCATTGCTGGCGCTGTCGTGAGCCTGAATCAACATAGCCACATCACGTCGTTCAATCGCATCATTGCATTGAACCCTTAGTGAATATCCTGCCGTACTATGGCAGTCACCGTCTCGAAGCACCTCGCGAGTTCACGGCAACCCCCAGGATGAAGGGCGCAACAATTGGGTGACGGTAAAACAAAACGTCAAAACCACATGTCCGTTGCCTTGTACATTAAACAAAACTAAATCCGTATTGAGCGCGCGCACTGGGCGGCATTTCGGGTCCTTTGCAGCTGAAGTGGCCCTCGGCCGGTCACGGCGGTGATGGAGAGTGCCGCGGGGCGGTGATGGAGAGTGCCGTGGGGCGGTGATGGAGAGTGCCGTGGGGCGGTGATGGAGAGTGCCGTGGGGCGGTGATGGAGAGTGCCGCGGGGCGGTGATGGAGAGTGCCGTGGGGCGGTGATGGAGAGTGCCGCGGGGCGGTGATGGAGAGTGCCGCGGGGCGGTGATGGAGAGTGCCGCGGGGCGGTGATGGAGAGTGCCGTGGGGCGGTGATGGAGAGTGCCGCGGGGCGGTGATGGAGAGTGCCGCGGGGTGGTGATGGAGAGTGCCGCGGGGCGGTGATGGAGAGTGCCGCGGGGTGGTGATGGAGAGTGCCGCGGGGCGGTGATGGAGAGTGCCGTGGGGTGGTGATGGAGAGTGCCGCGGGGCGGTGATGGAGAGTGCCGCGGGGCGGTGATGGAGAGTGCCGCGGGGTGGTGATGGAGAGTGCCGTGGGGCGGTGATGGAGAGTGCCGCGGGGTGGTGATGGAGAGTGCCGCGGGGCGGTGATGGAGAGTGCCGTGGGGCGGTGGTGGAGAGTGCCGCGGGGTGGTGATGGAGAGTGCCGCGGGGTGGTGATGGAGAGTGCCGCGGGGTGGTGATGGAGAGTGCCGTGGGGCGGTGATGGAGAGTGCCGCGGGGCGGTGATGGAGAGTGCCGCGGGGCGGTGATGGAGAGTGCCGCGGGGTGGTGATGGAGAGTGCCGCGGGGCGGTGATGGAGAGTGCCGTGGGGCGGTGATGGAGAGTGCCGCGGGGTGGTGATGGAGAGTGCCGCGGGGCGGTGATGGAGAGTGCCGCGGGGTGGTGATGGAGAGTGCCGCGGGGCGGTGATGGAGAGTGCCGTGGGGCGGTGATGGAGAGTGCCGCGGGGTGGTGATGGAGAGTGCCGCGGGGCGGTGATGGAGAGTGCCGCGGGGTGGTGATGGAGAGTGCCGCGGGGTGGTGATGGAGAGTGCCGCGGGGTGGTGATGGAGAGTGCCGTGGGGCGGTGATGGAGAGTGCCGCGGGGCGGTGGTGGAGAGTGCCGCGGGGTGGTGATGGAGAGTGCCGCGGGGTGGTGATGGAGAGTGCCGCGGGGCGGTGATGGAGAGTGCCGCGGGGTGGTGATGGAGAGTGCCGCGGGGTGGTGATGGAGAGTGCCGTGGGGCGGTGATGGAGAGTGCCGCGGGGCGGTGGTGGAGAGTGCCGCGGGGCGGTGATGGAGAGTGCCGCGAGGCGGTGATGGAGAGTGCCGCGGGGCGGTGATGGAGAGTGCCGCGGGGCGGTGATGGAGAGTGCCGTGGGGCGGTGATGGAGAGTGCCGCGGGGCGGTGGTGGAGAGTGCCGCGGGGCGGTGATGGAGAGTGCCGCGAGGCGGTGATGGAGAGTGCCGCGGGGCGGTGATGGAGAGTGCCGCGGGGCGGTGATGGAGAGTGCCGCGGGGCGGTGATGGAGAGTGCCGCGGGGGTGGTGATGGAGAGTGCCGTGGGGCGGTGATGGAGAGTGCCGTGGGGCGGTGATGGAGAGTGCCGTGGGGCGGTGATGGAGAGTGCCGTGGGGCGGTGATGGAGAGTGCCGCGGGGCGGTGATGGAGAGTGCCGCGGGGCGGTGATGGAGAGTGCCGCGGGGCGGTGATGGAGAGTGCCGCGGGGTGGTGATGGAGAGTGCCGTGGGGTGGTGATGGAGAGTGCCGTGGGGCGGTGATGGAGAGTGCCGCGGGGCGGTGGTGGAGAGTGCCGCGGGGTGGTGATGGAGAGTGCCGCGGGGTGGTGATGGAGAGTGCCGTGGGGCGGTGATGGAGAGTGCCGCGGGGCGGTGGTGGAGAGTGCCGCGGGGCGGTGATGGAGAGTGCCGCGAGGCGGTGATGGAGAGTGCCGCGGGGCGGTGATGGAGAGTGCCGCGGGGCGGTGATGGAGAGTGCCGCGAGGCGGTGATGGAGAGTGCCGCGGGGCGGTGATGGAGAGTGCCGCGGGGCGGTGGTGGAGAGTGCCGCGGGGCGGTGATGGAGAGTGCCGCGAGGCGGTGATGGAGAGTGCCGCGGGGCGGTGATGGAGAGTGCCGCGGGGCGGTGGTGGAGAGTGCCGCGGGGCGGTGATGGAGAGTGCCGCGGGGCGGTGATGGAGAGTGCCGTGGGGCGGTGATGGAGAGTGCCGCGGGGCGGTGATGGAGAGTGCCGCGGGGCGGTGATGGAGAGTGCCGTGGGGCGGTGATGGAGAGTGCCGCGGGGCGGTGATGGAGAGTGCCGCGGGGTGGTGATGGAGAGTGCCGTGGGGCGGCAGGGGAGCCCTCAGCGCTACGAACCGGACGGCCCGGGTTCGATTCCCGCTCGCGATCAACACCAGCCGTGACGATTATCTGAACCGGTCGTGGGCCTCACCTAGGTCGACTCAGCCTCAAATGAGTACCTGGTGCGATGTGTAAACATCGCCACTGGAGAGACAAAGGCGGCCGGGCGTGGTGCTGGCCACCCCCCCCCCTTCGTGTGCCGTGTGGGTCTTCACAGGTGCTGCTCGCTAACAGCACTTGCACCTACGGTCTGTTACAGGCTACACGGGGGGGGGGGTGTCTTTGTCTTTGGTGAGGCGTGGGAGCCTCGCGGGTGGAGAGATGCGGAAATGCTCGGCTCGTTGGCCCCGTGGCCCGGCCGTGCCCGCCGGCCCGCTCGGCCTACGTGGTGACCGTGGCGGTCTGGCGACGGCTCCACCCTCCACTGCCCCCGGGGCCCGAGTCCCGTGACCGACGCGGCCCACGTGATGGCAGCAGCGCGTGCCTGTGTGTGCGCACACGTGACTTTGTGTGCGCACACGTGACTTTGTGTGCGCTCACGTGACTTACCCGCATTGTTCTTCACGGCAAAACCTGCAATGCAGCATTCTTAGCTGCTGGCTCACACAGAAAGAAAACTGTAAACGGTGATAGACGTTTCACTATCTAGCACCCTTAAATGGCGACATTGTCAAATTATTCTCTTTACAGGACCATAAACTCATTTCAGGGGGATTGGCTTTAAAATGCCCTGACATCAACACTTTGTGTTCTTCCGAGGGAGAGTTTTCTCTGACACAAAACCTTGGGCAATGAACAAACGACGAGGAGTATTTATAGGCAGATTCTCCAACTTTGTGTTCTTGAGATTTTAACAACAGCTTTATAAGGAAAGAGAAAGCGCCCTACTGAGAGACAAAGATCCCCCGTGTAGCCTTCACAGACTGTTGGGGAAAGTGCTCCTCGGGGAGCACCTATGAAGGCCAGCACGGCACACGAGGGGGTGGGTGGTCATCACCACACCCAGCCACCTTTGTCTCCCTCTTGTCCATGTTTACATGCCGCACCAGGTACTCATTTGAGGGCGAGTCAGATAATCGTCATTGGTGTTGGCCGTGAGCGTGAATCGAAATGAGGTAGTCGCGTTCATAACGCAACGTGCTAACAACTGCTGTACTACCGCTCCCCACTACAGAGAAACACAGAGCCAGAGACTGATTTGTGGAAATACAGACACGGAGAGACACAGACATTCGTGAGCAGAGAGAGGTGAGTGCGGATAGAGGACTCGTATGTTCATTAATTGCGTTTATGAACTTCAGTCCGTTATTGCTATGGGGCAGTGCCCACGATAACAAAAACAAGGGTGAAGAGTGCTCACCTGGGCTGGAGTATCGACTATGCCACCTGTGTGGGAGCGTCTGGGGTAGACACTGAGCTTCAGCGGAAACAGGCCACAGCAGCTGACACGTTCAGCGGTGAGTGACGTGAGCTAGAGGCTAGAGACAGCCAGGCCGTTGCCAAGAAACATCTGGCAGTTCACCGGCGTCGGTTCAACCACGGATTACTGCTGATGAGACACTGAATACGAAAAAAATGGGTCCAGTGTTTTGCTTGTGTTGAACTAAGACTGCTAAAATGCACTCCCAGAAGGAAGGCCGTGTGGCTAATTGGATGTGTAGCTTTTGTTATTTTATAATGTGGAGACACAGATGGGAAGGAGGAGTCTTGTCTGCTTTTTACAAAGGGGCCAGAGCACCGCTGCTACTGCTGCTGCCCGCGTGATGGCGGGTGAGGTCTGCAATTTGGACGGAAAGAAAGTGGCCATGCAATCGATCACATAGCGCTAACCTCCAGCACTTTACCTGATTCCTATGACACGAGCGGACATGCAAATGGTTGAAAGCCTCGTAAGCAGTGTGTTACTTACGAAACAACCGCACTTACAAATCGCATAACCGACGCTGTTTCTTTTACCAAGGGGTGTGCGCTGAACGGCATGTTTTGCTATCTGGACGGACAATCTGCCTCGTCTGGAGCTGAGGCTATCAAGCCCTATTCAATTGGGACGGAGAGTTACAGTATTGACTCGGCTCAGCGTCGCTTTGCTGTAGAAGTTGACGGTTCGAATCCATCGGTCGCCCTGATTAGTACTGCGGCTGTGTTCACAGTACTACACGCCGTCTACTTCACAGAGAACGTTGCGGATCCCGGGGTCCCTCCGCTTTGCTTGGTGCTCTCTACTTTCTACCATGAGCAAGATAACTGTCAGATGTTGGCGCTCCTGTGAGACTCCTCTTTCTCCCGCTTGCGCCTGACCTGTTCCTCGCAGGTCGAGCCACAGCTGAGCCTCTCTCGTCCGCAAGACAGGCCAGAAGAGGGGGACGACGCCGCGAGGGTGGTGGACGGCACACGGAGCGTGCTGAGCCTCAAGGCCGTGCGCGCCCTGCTGGGCCTGGTGGCCGTTCTCGCCATCGCGTTTGCCGGTGTGCTCGCCGCTCTCATCGTCAACATCAAGGGTACGCCACGCACGCGGCCTCTCGCACGCTCGATACAGGTCTCCTATACGCAGTGACCTCGTTCGAGGTCTCCTACACGCAGTGACCCCGTTAGAGGTCTCCTACACACAGTGACCCCGTTAGAGGTCTCCTACACGCAGTGACCCCGTTAGAGGTCTCCTACACGCAGTGACCCCGTTAGAGGTCTCCTACACGCAGTGACCTCGTTAGAGGTCTCCTACACGCAGTGACCCCGTTAGAGGTCTCCTACACGCAGTGACCCCGTTAGAGGTCTCCTACACGCAGTGACCCCGTTAGAGGTCTCCTACACGCAGTGACCCCGTTAGAGGTCTCCTACACGCAGTGACCCCGTTAGAGGTCTCCTACACGCAGTGACCTCGTTAGAGGTCTCCTACACGCAGTGACCTCGTTAGAGGTCTCCTACACGCAGTGACCCCGTTAGAGGTCTCCTACACGCAGTGACCCCGTTAGAGGTCTCCTACACGCAGTGACCCCGTTAGAGGTCTCCTACACGCAGTGACCTCGTTAGAGGTCTCCTACACGCTGTGACCTCGTTAGAGGTCTCCTACACGCAGTGACCCCGTTAGAGGTCTGCTACACGCTGTGACCTCGTTAGAGGTCTCCTACACGCAGTGACCCCGTTAGAGGTCTCCTACACGCAGTGACCCCGTTAGAGGTCTCCTACACGCAGTGACCCCGTTAGAGGTCTCCTACACGCAGTGACCCCGTTAGAGGTCTCCTACACGCAGTGACCCCGTTAGAGGTCTCCTACACACAGTGACCTCGTTAGAGGTCTCCTACACGCAGCACGTTAACACCTCATGTCATCAGGTGCGAGCGAGCCGGCTATTGCTGCCCCACCACATAAAATAATAAAATGACTTTTTTCCATCCCATCAGCCACATTGCCTTGGTTCAACAACAGTGTTGATTCAACAAGAGCGACCTCTGACTCGGTTTCGAAATTCAGTGTTTCATCTGCAGAATCAGGTTTGCTTAAACCATTGCTGGTGAACTGCCAGAACTTGTTTTATTAACAAGGACCCTCTCTGTTAGATACGGGTCCGAGTTCGTCGCAAAAAATATATAATGTGCAACGCGGAACAATCACGAGCACTACGGAACAAAATTAGTTTGTGTTGTGTATTTTATAGTTTATTTTCGAATCCAGCACCTATAACTAACAGAGATGTTCCTTACTTAAGCGAGACTGACTCTGCTGATGAGACTTTTAGGAACGTGATGGAGTCAACAGTTTTCGTGTGCCAACCACCTGCATGAAATACCATTGTCATTCATATATTGATCATCAAGGTGCGTGCGTTGCAGTCATGTCCCCCTTGGGGGTTTACGAGCCCCGGCCCCCTGTCGCGTCTGTAGGCAAGGTGCCGCCGCCCGTGTGCCAGACTGATGTGTGCGTCAGCGACGCGAGGCTCATGCTCAACTCTATGGATCCCACCGTGGAACCGTGCCAGGTATGGAGACACGTGCCCGCCACAGTGGCGTCACCATGGTCGTTGTGGAGAAGATCATTAACGAGATGGTTAAGCGGACGATGCGCCTCCGTCCCATATCCATATCTCCACATAAAACATTTGCTCAAGCCATCGGCCGCACGGCCATCTGGGAGTGCGTCGTTTCAGCGATGTAGTTGCAGAACAACAACCACAATTTATCATTCTGCAGCATTGAATCAGTTCGAGCAAACCCTGCTGCGGTTTTGACACATACAGGGTCTCATTGGCAGAGTGTGAGGCTGGGTGGGCTGGGCTCACTTTGCAGTGAGTCGTGGGATCGGCTGCGATGCTTCGTGTCAACCCACGAGGACGAGTAGCACTCCCCAATTGTGACCGCTGGTCTCGCCGTTTGCATCGCGCGAGGCGATCTCAGCGCCGCCACCACTGTTTTTGTCGCAGGACTTCTACGCGTACGCGTGCGGCGCTTGGCAACCCAATGAGCGGTTGCCCGGGGGTACCGCCAGCTGGAATCAACGCAACGTCACGTGGAACGGCAATCTCAAGTTCCTGCGCGACATCTTGGGTGGGTGCTGCCCGCCTCCTTTCCGAATAAAGATGAAAGTATTTATCTGTACACAACCCACCAGCCGCACGACCTTCTGGCAGTGCGTCTTAGCAGGAGCATTGGGCCAATAAAAGTCAACTGTGGGCCAGTTTCTAAACTCGGTGTCACATCAGCAGGATTAGGCCTACTTGAACCAATGCTATGAGTTGCCGGATGTTTAAAGGCAAGGACCCTCACTGTAACTCACTGTAATAAATGGGTCCGAGTTTAGCGCAAAACTCCAATACATAACATTAAATAGCCTTCTGGTCATCTTGCAGAAGAGCAGGATTGGGAATTTCATGAATCTCTACGTAATTCATCAACCATTGCAAACTTCATCCACATTTTCATCATTAACTTGATTGGCAACATCATTTCTATCTTCATTTATCTTCCTCAACAATCATTCACACAATCATCGTTCTAATATCACTCGCCACTGATGTTAGCCATGGCCGGGAATCAACCTCAGGTCGCTAATTTCATAGCGCCGTGTGCAGACCACTATGCCACCACTCCACTCAGGTCTTATTTGGTTCATGATGTCGTGCTCGGGTCACACGCAGTTTTAGAACTGGGGTTGTTAAACAACAACCACCGCTAAACCAGTGACCGTTTGTGTCATCGGTTAGCGATTCCAAAAGCCAGGAACTGACAACCGTTTTCTGTGGAGTTCAAGCAATGACCGCACCGATTGGCACGCGTGGATGTACAAACGGCAGCACGGCGCAGCTCCTGGTTGGCCAGCGGCAAGCGTATTCCAGTGCCTCGGCCGAACCCAGTCCCCACGTGGTGCGGTCGCGCCTCGGCAAGATGAAACGGTAAAGGCCCAGCCCCCCAATTGCTTGATCACACCACTGCTCGTTGAAACGTTTCCACTGGGGGGAGTTCTGGAAGGGATGTGTTCTCCTCTTCCACGCTCTACGAGACGCGTTGTACCCACACTTTACTCCATGACACGCAACCTGCCCATCGACGAACTGGAGTGTCCATTCATACCGCTCGGTGGACAGAGGTGGTGAGATTACAATAGACTTGCCCCATGGTTTCAACTGCCGTGCCACACGATGGAATCGAACCACTTCCTCGACACTCAAAGACACACACACACACAGGGCTGTGTGTGTGTGTGTGTTCATCGTTATGCGTGGTTTTACTTGCAGTTAACCAGCAACCGGGTTTGTTCTCATTTTTACAACGCGGTTAGTGGCAGTGAAAGGGAGACGTTTTTAACACCCCCCCCCCCCCAATCACCACCCCCGTGCTTTCCTTCACCTTCAACCTCTCGTCTCAAATTCGGATTCTGTGCCCTGGCTAAATAAAGTACAACGTTCAAGCGTATTCTCCCGCCACGTAAAGGGGGGCTCACAGTACAAAAAAAGAGGTGTTCGGGATTTTTAAAATCCAATATATTTCAATTCCGCATCCTTGAACACCTCCCAATACAAACGTTTGTGGATCTAGGTCAGGGGTCGTCAACTTGCAGCTCTGGAGCCGCGTGCGGTGGCTCTTCTGCTTCCACCTTCTGGCTCTTTGGCTGCCCCCTTGCAGGCAGCCGTTTAAAAAAAACTTAAATCTTTAACGTAATTTCACGTAAAGATAATTAATTAAACATGGCAGGCAATGGGTTGCGATGGAATGTCTTGGTGGCAACAAAATGTACAACAGTCAAATTGTATTGTTAAGGGAGAAAAAAAAGGGCCCAATTTATTCCATCATCTATTTTTGTGTATTTAAGTCAGACTGTGTGTTGTCATCTGCTGTATACCTGCTGTGTTTGTGTACAAGTGGCAGTGCGTGTGATGCGGCTCTAAACCTGTTTTGGTCAAAGACAAAAACTAAACAAATGTCTCTTCTTCTTTGAAAGGTTGCCGACCCCTGCCCTAGATACTTCGTAGGTCTATCTACCTACAAACTATCTACCTGCCCTAGATAATTTGTAGGACTTGACTATCACTGTGCCAAATGTAAATGTTGTGTTCCCTTTCGAGAGCACCGTCGGAATGTACATCGCTCGCGGACTCGCGGCCATATTCATTCAAGTATGCGTTGATTTTTGACGTCGTGAATATTAATGACTGCGAATGAATTTGTGTTGCAGAAAATGTCACCTTCTCCGCTGATCAGTCGTCAAACGCCGACGCACAGACGTTCTACCGCGCGTGCATGAACCAGGGGCGCATCGCCGAGCAGGGCGCCCAGCCCCTGCGTGACCTCATGGACGGAGTACGCCTTCCGCTAAGCGTGCACGCAAACATAGTGGCCGAGCAGACGGAGTACGCCTTCCGCTAAGCGTGCACACAAACATAGTGGCCGAGCGGACGGAGTACGCCTTCCGCTAAGCGTGCACACAAACATCGCGACGTAGCGGACGGAGTACGCCTTCCGCTAAGCGTGCACACAAACATAGTGGCCGAGCGGACGGAGTACGCCTTCCGCTAAGCGTGCACACAAACATCGCGACGTAACGGACAGGGCACTCCTTCCACTAAGCATGCACACAAACATAGCGACGTAGTGGACGGAGTACGCCCTCCGCTAAGCGTGCACACAAACATAGTGGCTGAGCGGACGGAGTACGCCTTCCGCTAAGCGTGCACACAAACATGGTAGCCTAGCAGCAACAACAACTGCTTCTATCAACAGGAATCCCTAATTACAGTGCTAATCTCCTTAATATAAACTCACTCTAGTAAGCAATTAACGCATAAATGGAATCACAATAGCATTACAATTCCCGATTCATTACTAACACACACAATTCCTTAAGGATGGCCTATTTTCACAAACTAATACTGTAGATAGATAGATTACTACTGGAGATAAATAGATTCACCTTATTACCTTATTACATACCTTATTACACTAACCAACCCTGCCAATCATAACCATCAACCAGTACTCAACTCTCATTATTAATAATAATTCTTGATAAAATAGTTACAGTGGCATGGATATAAATACAATCTTTGTTTAAAATTAGGCCAGAGTCTGTAAGAGGTGTCGGGGTGCCTAATGGGATCAATATTTGGCATTGACTTAAAGCTTTCGTGATTGCAGGAATTCATATTCTATGGGTCTTTCGGTAAAGCCACGTAGATAGAACAAATAATAAAATGATAAAAATATTAACAATATCACGACGTTTCGATCGCAACACAAGCAATCGTCATCAGGTCAAAAATATTGTGGGAGAGCTGCTGAGAATATATGGTGGGAGCGCTTTTAAGGCAGGGAGTTGTAAAGGTTTGAGATGGGTGTAGCCCAAGGATCAGTGGGCGGGGCTAGAGATGAAATTTGCATGTAAATGTAAAATTTCTCCGATCTTACATTTACATGCAAATGTAATCTCTAGCCCCGCCCACTGACCCTTGGGCTACATTAGTAAATGGCGGCTTGCCATCCTTTTCCACCTCCATGTGGCGATGGCTCTTTCCGAGCTCTCTCTCGCTTACATTTACAAGCAAATGTCTTACATTGACATGCTAATCTCTCACAATACAATGGCCACCCCCACAGCTTCGTTTGTCAAGATTTCTCTGATCGTACACCCACAGTATTTGAGCACAGGCCCTAAGTTCGAAAACATTAAGCGGACAGCAACGGCCACCACTATCATAGTTGCAATAGATTGGAGTGTAACGCGTAGCTGTTATTATACCAGCCAGGGGACAAGTGACGCTGGTGGGAGGGAATTCCAAAGTGGGGCAGTGTGAGGGAAGAAGCATAAAGAGAAGTGTTGTGTGACCTGTAGTGTGGTGGGTGAGTGGGTGGATGAGTCTGTTGTTGTGACCTGCAGTATTGGTGAGTAACTGGGTGGGTGAGCTAGTGAGAGTGCTGTTGTAAGCTGCGGTGTGATGGCTGAACACAGTGAGGATGAGAGGAGGCATTGATTCTGCTAGACCGAGTCCTCCACGTGCTGGAATGACTCTACAGCAGCAGCAGCAGCACGGCGGCTAATAACAACGATGTGAACAGGAACGTGTGCCGCTTTATTCACCTAAATTCTTTTTATTTCACCAGGTAAAGCTGTGTATCTTTTTTTCAGAAGCGACCTGGCTATCACAAATTATAGCTCAACCAAGTGTGCTTATCATCACGTAGAAATTTATAGCAGCCAAATACTCTAAATGTGGAGGGAAAAATCTTGAGGACCCGGAGAAAAATTCACACAACCACGGGGAGAGAGAAACACGCAAACCCCAAATATCACGGGCGTCAGGGTTGGGATCCGAGCCACGACCTCCTGTATATCGGGCGAGGTTGTTGACATCTCGCCACCGTGGCACCCCACTGAAGGAAGCGGGGATCAAGCGACTGCCTCTGACTCACGCCGGCTTTACCCTGTGCTCTGTGACAGCTCGGCGGCTGGATGCCGACACCCAACAAGACCACTAATCTCACCGAGTTGTTGACCAACACCACCCTAAACTTCCTGTTGCCAGCGCTCTTCAATGCCCACGTGGTGCAGAGAGGCTCCAAGGATAAGCTCTTTCTCGAGGTAAGCACACACAGGATGCGCTCGTTGCCGAGACACGGTCGTTGCCGAGATGTGGAATCGACGAGTGAAGTTGACGGGGAGCCTTAACCGTGGTAGTAGCAATAGAAGGGTGAGAGGGAGGCGACTGACCGCCGGTGAGCGAGTGGTTGGAGTGAACCGGTGAGTGCTGGATCATCAATCACGCTGACTGCGTTGCATTGATTGTATGTCCAGTGCAGCAGTGTTGTTGCAACTAAGTGCTGCACCCCAGATATGAGAGCAGCAGGATTTCAGCTTCAACTGAATCCTGATTTGTGTAAAGCAGCAGCAGTGACCATGGCTCAGAGTTAACGAGGCTTTAGCATGGAAAAGGAAATGAAGTTTATTTTTCACTGCCTTGATAGCCAGATGAGTGACACAGCCATTCCATGACAGCCCAGATGAGATTGTTGTGCTCAAGCACGATTTATGGTTGTACTCTGGATAAAGTAATTACCGTTATACATTGATGGTAAAAACTGTGGAATTGCCAGCCTTACACATTAGTTTGTCATGGTTTTTTAGTTGAACGTGACCTGGTATTTTTTTTCACCCCAATCCAGACTTGTTTCACATCAGTGGTGTTTGACAGTAAAGTAATAGAAATGTATCTGAAGTTAGCTAATTGTGATGGTCATCTAGTGTGTACTAAATCCTTCATTTAACAAAGAATTGATAATTTCACTGACAACATTAATGCTGCTGTGTCTGATTTTATTGCGCATTCACGCACGCACACATACACACGCACACACACACGCTTCAATGTGTAAAAACACACATGACATGCATACACAAATGCGCACGCACAAACCCAACGCAGCTTTCGCACCCGGAGCTCGGGCTTCCCTCGGAGTACTTGACGAGCAACGCGACCCCGCAAGCCCTCAAGGTGATCGCCGCGGCGCTGCCGTCCCCGCACGGAGCGCGCTCGCCGCTCGTGCCGCTCCCACTGCACCAATGCGCGCACCGCAGCGTGCCGCGCTGCCGGTACCCGCGGCGATGTGTGCCGGATTAACGGAGGAGGCATTCCAGCCGTGTTTTAAAATACAGGAGCATGCAACACAGTGATAATAATTGAGTACATTTGATATTTGTGCCATCCTTATAGCGGAAGGCCATCACGAAGGCGCTGTGTTGCACAGGCACAGTCTGCAGTAGTTTGACAGTCGAGGGCGATGTTGCTACTGTGTGTCTATTCCCAACGAGAGTCATTTTTTAATTGGGCAAATGAGGACCATGCCGCCGGCACACAGTGGCGTCCTCATTTCAAATGACGTCAGGGGATTTTTAACGTCTGCTGCAATGCAAACGGCGCGTAGTGTTTTCCGCTCAATAAACAGCGCGGCAGTAACCAGGCAGGGCTCTCGGATTGGTACCACACACCTCTGCAAATGCGCTACCGCCGGGCCGTGTGACCACGCGAGCCGTTGTCACGGGGTGGTCTGCACAGGTGCGGGCCACTTATCTGCACTACATGGTGCGCTCGGCCGTGCTGCTGGGCCAGAGCCTGGGGGACGCGCGGCAGCACATGCAGGAGGTGCTGAGGTTCGAGTCGACGCTGGCCTCCATCGTGGCCCGGACTCGGGACCCTGCCGAGCCCAGCGAAGTGACGTGGGATCGCTTGCAAGTGAGGAAATGGGTCTGTGCCGCGTGCTGCTCTGTTTTCCGCCTTTTGTGACGGCCAGGCTTGTGCACAACGGGCTTCTGGGAACCTTGCGAACCCTCGCTCTGGCGTGAGGAGCTCACTCCTCTCCCTCTCTCTCTCTGCTCCGGCGGGTTTCGTTGTCAAGAGCATTTTGCAAATGTGCCTGTGGCGTTAATGTGGCTGTGCGCGACGGTGCACCACGCCGGCATGTGTCAGAAGACCAATGACGCATCTGCCGCGGTATAAAGAGCAACTCCCCGTTCAGTCTGCCTGCCCGTCAGTCTTGCACCATCCTCCAATACCCGATAATGTCAGCCTCTTATATGCGTCTCTGTAATGAAGCAGCGATCATTTTGAATGTGGCTACGTGGTGATTTTAAATACAATCGCACCTCGATCAACAGGACTGGCTGATCATATATGGTGACCAACTTACGGCAGAGTTGACACGTGGACAGGTGGAAATATGGATAGACGAGCTGAGAGACGCTTGCACGATGCCATGAACAGGCACACGGACGCTTACACAGATGGGATCGGGTATGGACACATGTCCACCTCTTGCGATAAAGACACTGTAATGCCGTAGTACGGTTGGCTACGTGCGGTGCGAAAGAAGCCCAACATACATACAAATTGCACCTGCATTTAAAAAAATGTCAGTGTAAATGAAAAATGCCTCTGTAAAAAGACAAAACGAGCTTTTAGTTTTTCCTCGTTTTCCCTCTGCAGGCCATTGCTCCATTCATCAACTGGCAAGCGTATCTGCACAAGGGAATTCCAGGCGGCTTTCCTCAGGAGGCGGGGCTCCTCGTGTCCTCCACAGCTTACTTCGAAAACCTCACCTCGCTCCTCAACCACACGGACGCTACGTACGCCCACGCGTGCACCGCTCGGCACACCTTTTTATTGGCTCACGGACGCCGCGCTCCAGCAAAACCGGCACATCGACTCGCGATGCAGTGAACACGTCGTGTAGTAATGTTTTATTTTGCGCGTTGCATCTTTTGTGGAAGAAAAATTGCGTCTCAAAAACACCGTGAACTTTGTGACGCGCAAAGGCCGTGGGAAGCCACAGACAAGCGCTCGCGAAGACAGAACCGTGCACTACCACCAACAATGACTTCATTCATTTTGTTTCAGCAGGGGAGAACACGAGAGACACCGGGATGAGTCTAATTTGCAAGAGTTGACGCGGGGCATCGATCTGCCAGCCAGTAGGGGGCAATGCTTGTGGCCGCATGTGTAATCCCAGGAGAGTAATTTGCTGGTCAATTTATAATTTGGCAAATTTTGGCCTTGATGCCGGTGGTGCACAATGGTCTGCTCTTGCGAATGATGCTAGGGCATCATTAAGTCTGCTGTGAAACAAGAAGGCGCGCATTTTTTTCTGGCGGCTGCCTGATGATGCTGGTTGTGTAACTACGGAGCAAAATGTTGGGCTCATTTGTGAAATGTTGTGAGATTGCTCACCAACGCGAAGGTGGTGCTGCCGGAGCAGAGATACATTGGCCACGTTTGTTCGTCACGTGACAACTTTATCCGTTGGCCATGTCAGGTGGAGGATGGTTTATAACGCACATTTTACTGAGGTGAATCTCACCCCGAAATCAACAATGAATCGGGCGTGTAGTGTTATTGTTGTTATTGCAGCCGCAGTCATAATCAGGGCGGCCGCTGCATTTCCACCGTGAACCACTACAACAAGCGGAGGTGGAAGTACCGCTAGGCCATGTCACCTCTCAATCGCCCGAGTTCTGTGGTCCTATATGAGAATGTTTGGCCGACTCCATGAGTGAGTGTTCTATACGTGTGGGAGGAAAGCGGATCCCTCGGAGTAAACCCACGTGTGCCACGGGGGTAACACTCGATCCCCGTACAGATGGAAACGAATCCACTTGCTGCACTGCCATTGTACCCTGCAAGCCAGGAGATGACAAAGCACTATGCCCATGGGTAGGGAGAGAACTCTGTAAATGTGTGTGCCTGTAAGCAAAGCAGGGCACATCTCCTTGTGAGCGTGATAAGATTGTTTGAGTTATATCAACGGGTGCCTAGTCACATGGCACAGGAGCACGACGTGGGGTCGGCGTCGGCATTGTGGGGCATTGTGGGGCATTGTGTGATCACCGTATCACCGTTGCTCACTCGCGCCTGCAGAGATATGGAGGCATGGAGTGGATTTAGTTTACAATGTTATCTGAAAAAAACAGAGACTGTGTCTTCAGGAGGAAGGGTGATGCAGTGGTAACGCTCGTGCCTCACAACAAGAAGGTCCCAGGTTCGATTCCCCACTGGGGCACCTTTCAGTGTAGAGTTTGTGTGATCTCCCCCTGCTCTATGTGTGTGTTTCCTGCAATAGCAACAAAATATATACGGTCTAGCTGGTATTGGCCAAACTTCCTCAAAATGACTCAACTGGGATTACACGCAGCAACGTTGCAGCCTACCGTGGCACACGTGGCAGGGTCTTGTCAGTACCAAACGAGATAACGTCGAGGTTTGGGAACGATAGCCAATGGGCGTTGTGCAAAATCAATAATCTTTTGCGATGTGCTGTGTCAATTCACACCCTGGACACCCTTGCAAAGCAGATGTTCACATCTCGAGGGTTTTTTGGGTGAAATATTTGTAACGAACTAATATAAATTATATCTATGGTACCTTTTTGTCAGTATCAAAACTGATGAAGAATAAGAACAGGTTTTACCCTTACTGGCAATAAAACAGGAGGAGTTGAGATGTTCATATTTTTTGCAAGGAACTAAGTCTGCATTAACCACACACTTGTGGCGAAACAAACATACTCTGATAACAGTGGTCTACAGCCAGAATGCTTCCCAAATAAATGTAGTCCAACTTGACTAATTATGGGCCACTGAGAATGAAAATGATACTTAAAATTGTTGATTGGCTCTAGTTTTCAAGATATGCTAACGGGTCAGTATATACGACTCTTGACTTGGGAATGGCGGAGGATAAGTGAGTTATAAAGGGAAGGGATTTCAACTTCAACCAGAAATCACTAAAATACATCTAAATTTTGGAGCTTTCGTGACTGCAGGAATTATTATTTGGTTCTTTCGGTAAAGTCACGTATAAAGATAAAATAATAAATTAAATAATAGCATACAACGTTTCGATTGCAACACAAGCAATCATCATCAGGTATAAATGAAATAGCAATAAAACTAGTGTTCTGGTTAGATAAATGAAATAGCAACAAAAATCTAACCAGAAAACTAGTGTTCTGAAATGATGCAGTGTCCTGCTCTCTTATTTGTCAGTGTTTGATTTTGCAAAGGGACACATTTCTGTTTAGCCAAAGTGAGCAGAGATGCCTCGTACTTGTGTGAGCAAAGCAGATCACTTCTGCTATGTTTGTGGTGAAGTGACTTTTGCATCACAAAAGCGCAGTATCACCACCATGGTTAAGAAAGCCTATCACCTTTATTATTGCTGCAAATTTTGAGATCAGGACAAGACGTGGGCCCCACACATTTGCTGCAACACTTGTGCAACAGATATTTGCCAGTGGTTGACAGGAAAAGGAAATCTATGCCTTTTGCAGTGCCAATGATTTGGAGAGAGCCAACAGATCATATCAGCAATTGTTACTTCTGCATGAGGCCTCCAGTTGGGAAAGGTGTGTCAAAGAAGAAAAAGTGGACTGTGCATTATCCAAACATTCCATCAGCTATACGCCCAGTACCCCACGGAGAAGGAATGTCGGTTCCTGATGCACCAAAATCATTCTCACTTGAGTCAGACGAGGAAGAGGATTAAACTTCTGGTCCTGAACCATCAAGGTCACATGACCCAGAGTTTCTCCCATCCTCCTCTGAACCACACCTCATAACACAAGGTGAACTTAAAGACCTTGTCAGGGATTTGGAATTACTCAAGAGTAAGGCAGAGCTGTTGGGCTCCAGGCTGCAGCAGTGGCATCTCCTGGCAGGTGATGTTTGGGTTTCCATGTTCCGTGACCGTCAAAATTATCTTGTCCCATTCTTCTTCATGGAAGGTGATCTTGTAGCCTGTGTAGGGGTGTTAAAGAGAGGGCCCGTTATGCATGGCAGCCTATGGAAAACAAACACAGTGGGCGGGGCTACGTAAGTGCACGAGCAAGTGCACTCTACGACGTCCGAGCCAGACACCCTGGGGGGGGCTGGTTCGAACGTTATGATCCCCCGGGGCCCCACCCCTCAGGGAGGGGTTGGGTATAAAAGGGGATGTTTCAAAGGGCTCGGCAGTTATGTTTAAGCTAAGGGAAGAAGATTGAAGACGTCTTAGATAGAGCCCTGGACTCCCCTGGTTCGATGTCCTTTTCAGGGCCGGACAGGATTGAGCCAGCGGCGTGGTCCCGAAAGCCAGAGCCGGTGCTCTTGTAAGAGCTGGTCTGGAACTCCGGGTACCGGGCCCGACTTACCAGTGTCGGGCCAGTTAGCCTCCCCTAGCCCATTAGTGGAGGATTCGGGGCTAGGACAGAGTTAGCTAGGGGTGTATCCCGAGTTATACGGGTGAGGGGGCCGATACCCCCTCGAGAGTGTATATGCCCACTGTCATACTGTGAAATAAATATACGTGTGCCTCAACCTCGGCGTCAAGCGTCTTCACCGGTACTTCACCTGCAACAACATCGATGGTGTGATGTCAGCCCTCAACATCGTTCATGATCCAGATGAGTGGATAATGTTAATTGATTCATCTAAAATTTGTCATAAAGCTGTTTTGTTGCATAATGGCAATGTTTTGCCATCAATTCCAATTGGTCATGCAGTCCATATGAAGGAAACCTATGACAACATGAAACAATTTTTGAGGTGCATGAACTATGACCAACATCAGTGGCAGCTTTGTGGAAAATTGAAGGCTGTTGCTCTCTTGCTTGGTCTGCAGGTTGGATACACAAAGTACCGCTGTTTTCTCTGCGAATGGGATAGTCGTGCGAGAGATTCCCACTACATCAAGACAGATTGGCCACTCCGACAGTCATCAGAGCCTGGGAGGAAAAGTGTTCAGCATCCACCACTTGTTGAATCAAGGAAGATTTTGTGACCACAGCATGGAAAGCCTTCCAGTTAGTGGCAACACATTTTCTCGGAAACAACAAGACAGACAACTACAGGGAGTTGGTGGAAAACCTCCTCAAAGCTTATAAAAGTCTTGGTTGCAACATGTCACTCAGGATACATTTTTCGCACTCTCATCTAGATTTCTTCCTACCGAACTGCGGAGCAGTGAGCGACTTGGTATCATGTAAAGCGAAAAGACCGAGGTTTACAATTTATGAGTAAAACTCTACTATCTACACAATATACACAGATGTAAAATATTAAAACTTTAATATCTTGGGAACAGTAGCCAATCAGTTGTTTTAATGGTCACATTTGAAATCAGCACATCAAAATAATAAACAGCACATTTCATCTCGGAAGCAGACGACGTCTAAAACATTGTAGAGCAGCGTAATTTTACATGCATTGTCCTTGAAGCTGATTGGCCTGCACCATAAACAGCCTTCTGTATGGCCCAATAGAAATGAGCTGTCCACCAGGCTGCTTAATTCCAATTCGGCGAATGGCGGCGACGAAACGTGCCCTCCTGCCTTACCCCTTGCCGTTGTTAGCGTGCCAGCGAGTGCCGTGGTCGCGTGTGTGTGCGTGCGGTGCGCTACCCGCAGCGTCGTGAGCGGCTACGTCCTCTGGCGGCTGGTGCAAGCGATGTCCCCCGCGATGGACGACAGCTTCAGCGCCCCTCACCGACAGCTGCAGGATGCCGTGGCCAACGCGCAGACGGTGAGCTCCGCTCGCGGCTGAATAACCGCCCGGAGAAGCGGAGCGGCTTGCGAGTTGCACATCCTGGCTTGGGGAGAGGGGAGGTGTTGGCTGACTCGGGTCGATGAAAGTTACGACATCTGGTCGAGCAGTTGTTACAGCAGCATTGGTTTAGCGCAACGATCTTTTGGACAACGTTTTTACAGGAGGGGTGATTTGTTTACCTTTCTTGAACTTTGCACTTCCATCGTGTTTTTGTATTGTTTGTTCTAACATGCCTACCCACCCCTACTGGACATCTGTGAAAAAGAGCTTAATTCCTCCAGTATAAATAAATATTCCGATTAAATTGTATTATTCTGCTATGGATATCCCGATTGAGTCATGTGCGGTGTAAATTTTTTAATTTGGCAAATTTGGACTCTGACGCCGGTAGCACGCAATGACCCTACTCTCACGGGATCTTTAGCGGCCGGCGCGTACTATGTTGCGGTTAATGCACCCGCCAGTAATGACCGGGGCAGGTGCCGGATTTCGCGCTCTGGCTGGGCTGTTGCGACGCAATGACAGCACCGTGCTCCTCCCGTGTGCAGAATTACAGTGCGGCACGCTGGGAGTTCTGCATGGAGAAGACGAACTGGGCCATGCCCTACGCCCTGGGCGACATCTTCTTCTTCGCGACGCGCCTCGAGCAGACGACCGATGATGTACGTGGACGCAAAGCACAGGAACAGACGCGCGGACAAAACACCCCTAGCACGGAGCAATACGCAAACTGTTATCCCACTGCCAGACTGTGAACTCACGATGGCTACAGCCCCACGCTGCTTTGCCTCTTGTCCAGTTGCCTTCAGCACAATTCCCATAACTCACTCATTGCTGGTCGATGGCCTCCTTTTCGCTCTTCTACCGCTGCGACTGCTGCTGCTGCTGCCACAGTGGTTCCTGTGAACTTCACCCGTCGATTCCTCTTCCTGTGTCGAAGACTCGGTCTGCCAGACACTGACCGTTTCATCTTGTCGACACTGTTAAACCTTCACCACAATCCAGGTCAACACACTTACCCACCCACTCACCCCACTCACCCAACCACTCGGCACACTGCAGGTCACCAACACTTACATTTCTGCTTCGTCCCTCGCGCTGCTCCGCTCTAGAATCCCCTCCGATCGTCTATTTTTCCTGGTTCTCGTAAAAAAACCTTCATCAATTCAAGAAACGTGTTGACTCTTATCTATTTTGCAACGTTGACCCTGCTGTTGTTGCTCTCCACTTGACAGTTTGAGCGTTGGGGCGTGTGCTCAGCGATTTTGTTTTAAAGAAAGCGACCACTTCCCTGTGATGCTCAATAACCAATGCCAATAACCGCCATTCCCCAATAAGTGACGGTGACGTCACCACGGCGCCTGCGCCAGGCCAGGTGCACTTTCAGGCCACGTGAAAGGTCGAAGGCTCGTTGACAGGAGGTCTGAGATGACCGGTAGATGCACACCACCTGTGCCCCCTGCTGTGCCAACTTGCTGCATTTCAGCCGCCCGGCGCTTCACTCGTTGTGAGCGTCGTTGCTCTGCCCTCGTTGTTGTTGGAGGGTGACTGCCTCCAACTGTCGACAAGTCTACTCAGCTCCACGTCCTCCCGTGCCATATCAGTCTTCTTCAGCTCATGTCGTAGCCCCCTCTATGCGGAAAAAATAGAAGCTGCTTGGGCATGGCGGTGGCTGGGCATGCGGGCTACATGACCCAGCCAACGCAGCCTTGCCTGCTGTAGGAGCTCACCGATGGGAATGTGTCCAGAACTTTTAAGGATTTGTGAGCTACTCACACTTTCCCTCCTGGTTAAACCCAGGATGGATCGCTCAATATCACCACCCCTTGCTTGCTTCATTGCTCGCTAACCGAACAGGACAGTGATTACAGTCTATGCAGTGATATAAACATATATTTATATAGTATATAGATATTTATAGTCGTATTGGTCCAGAATGACTTCGCGAATGCAAGTCCAGGAAAATCTCTGTTCTCCGGCATATATGGGGATTGGAGGGTGCCGGTTAACCAAACATGCCGGTGACCTGCGAGTCGTACTTATGGTTCACCACATTTTCCAAGGACATACAATTTTTACGAAAGATGCTTAGCCTACGTTTTAACTATGATATAATAAATAAAATACTCTTTTACAGAGAGGTACTCACCGGTCAATTGTAGAGCATCTTTGTCGTGCAGCACCGTATCTGAAGCTCCCATGAGCAGCAGATTGATGATCAGTGCACGGCAAGATGCCGGATGGCTTTCGGGATTTTTCTGGATAAATGAAGGAAGATTAGTATGACAGGTGCCAGTTAATAGAGCATTCCGGATGGTAAAGTGGTGGATAACATAGCTTTTCCTGTACACACAATGACAGACAAATTCATTGAAAAGTGTTCATTCTAAAATGCTTGCATGGGTGATGCTAAAGCAAAATACCGGACTTGAAATTGATCATGGATTCAAACCCCATTTGTAAGGTCTAAGAATCGTCATTATTTATTTACCCAGGATAACCATACGGATCCAAACACTAATTTTCACAAATGTCCTGCTTTGCGATGTTTGTCCAACACCAATGGCATTGTATTTCTTGTTCGCTGTGGGAGGAAACCGGAGAACCCGTAGAAAACCAATGCAGAACAGACGAAGAGCATTCAAACTCCACACAGAAAGTCCCCGCGTTGAAAATCGAACCCAGGTCCTTGTGCTATGAGGTGCAAGTGTTTATTGTGTTACCCTGTCGCCCTCTGGATTTGGCCTGCAGTACCTTTGTAAATGGTATAATCATGGCCACCTCGCGAAAAGTCATTGAGATGGCAGTCCGCAGTGAGGCTACGTGTCATTTCCACCTTCAAATCACTGTAATGGTTTACGTTTCACGCGGATGCAAATCCATTTAATGATATATTTATTTACATTTGCACTGCGACTCCTTAGGTGAAAGAAATCATCAACAATGTCCGCTTCTCGTTCCAAACCACTCTGACGACGCTGACCTGGATGGACAACAAGACGCGGGACGATGCCCGGGACAAGGTCAGTGGCGGCAAGGGCACGGCCCCCCCCCCGCCCCCCCCCCGCCCCCCCCCCCGCCCCCCCCCCCCGCCCCCCCCCCCCCCCCCCGCCCCCCCCCCCCGCCCCCCCCCCCCGCCCCCCCCCCCCGCCCCCCCCCCCCCCCCCCCCCCCCCCCCCCCCCCCCCCCCCCCCCCCCCCCCCCCCCCCCCCGCCCCCCCCCCCCGCCCCCCCCCCCGGAAGTAGCGGTCCGGTACGGTAACGACGACGTTGTAGTCATGCGTCGCCGCGGTGGCGGCGGCGGCGGCTGCAGCCGTGGGCGTGGATCGGTCGGCGCTTCGAGCAGAAGGGGCGCTGCAGCGTCAGCCGCCGAGTGCACGGGTCGGATCTCGGTGGGGTTGGCGGCTGTCGAGAGTCGGGCTCCGCCCCAAACCCCGACAAGAGTGAATTCGTCGCTCACTTCCACAGACGACCACAGAGCACTCCCATTTTGATATCGGTTGCGTAACAATTATTTAGCAACCCTGGTTCATATTAATTTCCACTGGCCAAGGGTTTGTTACATATAGATGTTGTCTTAAACATATAGCGTTTGATTCTCAGAATCCAGCCGCAATCAGCTGACTGGAATTGACATTGTCTTTGAACCGGATCCAGTTGACACTGTAGACACTAGAGAGACTGTAGACACTGTAGACGCTGTAGGTAACAGGGATACAAACATGGAGAACGCCGTGGTCACCCTCGGCGTGTGAACGACTTCCCCTGCTGTTCGTGGGAACTCTCAGCGAACACGGAGGACAAGCCCAAGTTCACTTTATTTAGCCCGGTGAGAACTCGGGAGACCAGGTTGAGTCTCCAGAGGGACCTGGGTCACCAAAATGAAGGAAGCGATAACTTAGAGACGAGGACGACAATTCCTCAACCTTCCACCCGTCACCTGGACCCAGAGCGGCAATGACGGGCCAACCCCCCTCCCCTCTCCTCCCTGCCCCCCTCCACTCCTCCTCCTCCCAGCCCCTCCTCCTTCCCGCCCCCTTCCCCCGAAGAAAATCCCTCGACCCCCCCCCTCTGATGAGTCCGGTGTGGGACTGATGCCCGATACCGTCGATGCTCCTGGAACTACCGCTCGGAACGTCGCATCGTTGTTGATCTACACCCGTCGATGTGCGATGTGAGGGAGGATGTGGAATTCAAATATTGTATATATACATAAAAAAAACGAGCACAACAATGAAGGAAATAGAAATCAGAGCAAAAAACACCAAATATTAATGGCAATAAACACCGCTGCGCTACTGGTGAGATGTGAGTCGCGCCTAGGCCTCGGCAAGGTAAGGTAGTTTACCCTTTTTACCGGGTCAAAGGGTAAAGGTAAAGGTGTCGACATGCCAAGGGGTAAGGTAAAGGGTAGGGTAAAGGTAGCTCGGAAGAATTACCCAGTAAGATAAAGGAAGCGCGAAGTATTACCCGGTAAATACGGTGCCTTGTTGACCGCTAGAAGCTCTGTGGCGCAGTCCGTGGCCTCCATTTAATGAGTAATATTGAAAAAAACCTTTTTTATAAACACGCTCTTATTAAATGTACGAGTAATAGCAGAACTCCACAACTCCAGGAAGTGGCCCCGAAGCTTGCCATCACGTAAGGGACCGTGGCCTATTACAGCCAACATCAGTTGATTGTGGACAATTAGACCCAAGCCGAAACATAACATAAAAAATAATGTTTTAAAATATATGTTTTCTATTTTTTATGATAGAATATAGTATTGTCATCAGTATGACATAAGTATACCAAGTTTGCAGTGATACCACATTGTGAAGTGGGTTAAAATTGAGTTACAAAATTTGAGGATACGACGACGACAACGACAGCAATGACAACGGCAACAACAAGCGTGTAAAATTGTAATCATCGAGAGTATTCTATATGAGTAAAGTGCTCTACCTTGTAGCATTTACCGTTATAAACCTTTTTCATGTGTAGTACCTCAGTAATTACCCTGTAATCGGGTAATTTGTGTGGGGTAAGGGTAAAAGGTAGGGTAAAGGTAGGCTCGTTGCTTTTTACCTTACCTGCTAAAGGGTAAAAGGTAGGGTAGAGTGATTGTATTGTGGTAAGGTAAAAGGTAGGGTAAAGGTAGGCTCGTTGTTTTTATCTTTTAGCTTTTACCTTACCTTGCCGAGGTCTAATCGCACCCCTGAGTATCAATCAATGTCCCACCGGAACATTCACCTCTTCTCCCGCATTCGCGTAACCTGGAGCTCTGGGGGGTTGAGTTGTGCGAGTTGAATAGGCGTTGGCGAGTAGCGTGGTCGCGTGATTGGAGCGTGAGTGTGCTGAGCGACGTGACAGCATGCGTTGTTTGCCTTTGCTTAGGCGAGCGAGATGAAGCCCTTGGTTGGAGCTGAGAATAAATTTAGTGACCCAGGCTGGATCAACAGCTTTTACGCTCAGGTAAGCCTCATCGTTCGCTACAAACACATTGCAATCACCATCGGTGAAGCAACAACTTTCTTGCTGATGTAATCCCTTACGTTGTTGCAATGTGTAGATTTTAAGGATTGTTAGACCGAGGTGAAAATACTCTGATGTTTAGGAGGCCAGGGTGGCAACGCAGTGGGAACAACTCGTGCCTCACAGCAAGAAGAGCCTGGGTTCAATTCCCGCCTCGGGCGCCTTAATGGGTACAGTTTCTACGATCTTGCCCTGTTCTGTGTGGAAAACGTCTGGGTTCTCTGGTCTCCTCTCATCGCTAAAGAAAAAAAAAAGCATACGATGTAGCTGGCATTGGCCAAACATCCCAATGTTGAAAAGTGACACTGCAAACGACTCGGTTGGGATCACACACACAGTAGCAACATCGACTGCTCCTGCAAAAACTTGGCAGGACCCTCCTGAAAAAGAGTCATGAGACTCGGCGAGGCTTTCTTGGGTAAACACGTGGAGTAAATAACAATAATATACAATATCTGCTGTCGCCCCAAGAGGTTTAAAATATACCATACACTACGTTCGTGACTGAGTGCATTTGTGAAACACTGCATACATTTCAAATTAGTCGCATTGCAGCAAGTAGTACCATGAGTATCCAGGTCTCCTGGGAAATGACAGGTGACTTGCTGTGTGTGTGTGTGTGGTTTGTAGATCACACCGGATGAGAACTCTTTCTTTAACACGATGGTGAACTACTACAAGTACCTGGCCAAGAAATCACTGGAGCAGCTGTCTTTAGGCTTAAACACCAAGTGTGTATATTTACATTTCGTCTGTTTGAAAACCAGTGTAAACGTTGTAACTTTGTCTTCCTGGGTAATCGATAAAATAAATACGCAGACAATAATCTTGCTTCCCACGCCAATTGAGCTATCTTTATATCTTGACTTAAAGCTTTCGTGACTGCGGGAATTAATATCTTTTGGGTTTTTTGGTAAAGTCACCTAGATATGTTGAAAGAAAATAACAAAAAAACTACGACGTTTCGATCACAACACAAGCGGTCGTCGTCAGGAGGAAAAAATTATGACGATTGCTTGTGTTGTGATCGAAACGTCCTAGTTTATTTATTATCTTTCAACCTACCTATGTGACTTTACCGAAAGACCCAAAGAATATGAGCTCTGTTTGTTTTTGTTCCGCGTGTGTTTGTGAACAATCGTCTCACAACACGCACATGCTGCAAGTTCGTTCCATTCATCAAGAGCGCTCGTGACATCACGGAAGGGATCGAGTGATTCCATACGCCCAGCGATTCCAAAACCGTCACAGTACAGGGGCTGTTGTTGACTACCTCGCCTGGTGTGCAGGAGGTTGTCGGTTCGATCGCGACCCTGATGCCTGCTGTATATTGCAGTTTGAATGTCTCTCTCCCCGTGGTCGCGTGGAGTATTTGCTATAAATTTCCACGTGATGATAAGCCACTTCATTTGTGACCAGGTCACTTCTGAATAATAAAATAATTAATTAGAAAATTCTGTTTCAGTGCGGCCAGTTGGGGGCGTTACAGTTGAGGTCTCCCTTAAAGACAAAGGTCCCCCGTGGAGCCTTAGCAGACCCTTGGGGGTGAGTGTTGCGAGCGAGTAGTAGCTATGTAGAGCCCGTGACGGCGCACAAGAGGGTGGGTGGCATGCACCGCATCTAACCACCTTTATATCCCCAATGCTGATGTTTACACGCCGCACCAGGCACCCATTTAAGGCTGAGTCAACCTCGGGGAGGCCCAGGACCGTTTCAGTTATCGGTCACCGATGTTGTCTGTGAGCAGGAATTGAAGTTGGGGGTGCGTGGGGGGGAGCGTTGGGTGGGGGGCAGAGAAGGAGGGGGGCGCGAGGAGGGGTAGCGGGGCATCTGGAGTGTCCTCGGCAGGGTGCGGGCTGGACAGCAAATGCCGCTGGGTCACCTGGTGATGCCGACAAGTGCAGCATCCATTCAGTGCAGGACAACTCGCTTACGCAATTATTATTATTACACTGGTCAACACACTTTTTCTGGCATAAGGTATTCCAACGGTTTTAAGGTAATTTTGGGGTGCTGATTCCAAATCTGGCATCAGTTTTTGTCTATCACATCAGGTTTTTGAGATATCAAATATTGCATTTTCAATAAAAACAGCAAATTTATGCTCATATACGAATAGCTAAACAGACATCCATACAAGAATAAGATAAGATACAATATACAATAATAATGAAACAAACATTTAATGAGCCGTAGCACAACGTTGTGAGAGTGACTGCATATCAATGTGAGTGAATGCATATTACCATGTAAGAATTGAATTGTGAAGATAAGAAAATATGTACAAAAAGGTCATTTAAAATAGTGATGTTACATCTGCATAAACGACCTCTTCTTTGACGATCTCCGATGTACAGCTTGTGGAATGTCTCTCATCAAGGACCAGCAGTAATCTGCAATCATGTTTGAGTCCCATCGGCCTTGGTAACGTTCTTCCATAACTTTAATGTATTGATGAAAGCGTTCACCTTGCTCTTCGCTCACGTGACCCATGTTCTCTGCAAACTGGGCCAAGTGACTATGTAAGTAGTGAACCTTGATGCTCATTCTACATCCAAGTGCTTGGAAACTCAAGAGCAACTCCTCCACAATCTCTCGATAGTTGTTCGCTTTCCTGTTCGCAAGGAAATTCCGCACCACATCAGAGAATGCATTCCAAGCTCTCGCCTCTGCCGCAGTCATTGTTGTAACAAAGTGTGGATCCCTGATGAGTGTTCTTATTTGAGGGCCATCAAATATTCCTGCCTTTTTCTTCTCGGCACTGAGACTTGAAAAGGTTGAACATATATAGCTGAAGCAGTCTCCAGTGTGATCAAGAGCTTTGACGAATTGCTTCATTAACCCAAGTTTTATGTGCAGTGGGGGAAATACTATTTTATTCCTATCAACCAGAGGCTCATTCTTGATGTTCTTGTCACCAGGCGTCAAACTGATTCTTGGTGGACAGTTATTTTTAACGCAGTGTTCTAATGTAGCCCTACTGTCCCAGTAGCACAGGAAACAAGAGTATTTGGTGTGACCTCCTTGCTGACCCAGCAGGAAATTTACCATTTTCAAATCAACACAAATTAGCCATCCATGAACATGTTATTCCAATCTATCCAGAACAATCTTGATGTTGGCATACTCTTCATTCATTTTTACAGAGTGTCCTATTAGGATTGAGCCATATATATTTCTGTTGTGAAGTAACACACATTTCAAACTCCTTTCACTACTGTCAATAAAAAGTATCCATTCACTTGAATCATATGCGGGCAGTCCCATAATGAGAAGAAGCCCTTCAACATCATTACACTAAACAAGTTGACCATCTGAATGGAAGTACTTTCGCAGTGCTGCTTCTCTGTTACGATAAAAGGAGACACTAGTGCCAGGTCTGAGTAGTCCTTTCTCTTGCAGCCTGGAAGCCAACAATTCAGCAGACTGCTTTGGCAAATACAAATCTCTTACAAGATCATTCAATTCAGGCTGACTAAACGGAGAAATTTTATCACAATCTGCATCAGATGGCGTATATTTGATCTGTAGAAGCAGGTAAACTGAGGGATTCAACATCAATCTCTGGTAGCTCAGTAAATACAGGCATAGATATTTCCTCACAGTGCTCAACTAGTCGTCTGGCAGATGGGATATCTGGGTATTGTAAGTGTTGTTTGTTTTTCTTATTGAAACCTTTTACATTGACAAGGCAGAAGTAGCAGTTATCCAAATGGTTTGTAGGTTCTCGCCAAACCATTGGCACACCAAACTTCAGCTTAGCATTCTTTCCTTTAGACCATGATCGCAAAGTTTCAACACAGGTTTTACACACTTTGAGGAGCCCAATTTTTGTCTTGGTCTCCAAGTCGTACTTTAAAGTAGGCAAGATAAACCTTCTTGACGAAGGTATTGATGTTGCGCCTTTGATCCTGCAAAGTGAATCTGCCACAGATGTAGCAGAAGATATCTGGGTCATTACTGCATTTCCTTCTTTCGGATATTGTAGCCATTGTTAGATCACGCCCTGCAGAATAAAAATATTAAATAAATGTGGATATCTACATAAAATGATATTATAAACACTATACTGAAAATACAGCACCATATTTTAACACTAAACCAGTCACTGACTCGCAACAACTTGCAATCATAAGTTACAGAGTAAATTTCGGGTAATATCAATGAAAATGGGGTATGCCGATTGCATAAAAAATTAACCCGTAAAAACAAAGTTTTTCACTATAAATCCTTTATATGTGTGGCGGCTAGAGTCCTCTCGTCCTCTGGCTTGAGATGGCTGCCACCTATGGGTCAGATGATTGCCTGCCACCATTAATCAATTGGTAATTAAATATAAAAAAAAATTCCTAAAAAGTGTAAAGTTATGGAAAAAAATTTTCACGAAAATAAATTGTCACGCACAACGAGTCTGTGTGCAAAATGGCAGCTCGATTGGATCACGGGAAGTGGGTTAAAAAACGACCGAAAGATTTGCACGGTCGTAAGAGCGCAAGCAAGTGAACTTAATATAAAGGATTTAAAAAATTAACCCGTAAAAACAAAGTTTTTCACTATAAATCCTTTATATGCGTGGCATCGGTTTCATTTTATTATTCATTTCTGTTTTTCTTGAGTAAGCAAGCAAGCAAGTGAAGTTAATATAAAGGATTTAAAAAGGAAAGATCACTTCTTGACATGCCCCGTATATTCCCGAGGGCACTAGCGTTGACCCGTTTTACCACTTTCAAGAACCTGGCGGCTTCAATGTAACTGCTCTATAAATAGTCTCCATTGTACAGCGTGGGGACAGGGATTTCATGCCATGTGGTTAGTCAACATTTGCGTCATCATGAAACGGGCGGCTACAGTCCTCTCGTCCTCTGGCTTGAGATGGCTGCCACCTATGGGTCAGATGATTGTCTGCCACAATTAAGCAATTGGCAATTTAATATTTAAAAAAATTTCCCTAAACAGTGTAAAATTTTGGAAAAAATTTTTTCACGAAAATTAATTGTCAAGCACAACGAGTCTGTGTGCAAAATGTCAGCTCGATTGGATCACGGGAAGTGGGTTAAAAAACGCCTGAAAGATTTGCACGGTCCTAAGCAAGCAAGCAAGCACGCAAGCACGCAAGCAAGCAAGCAAGTGAACTTAATATAAAGGATTTAAAAATGAGATGTGATAGAGCAAATCTGAGATCAGATTTGGAATCGGCACCCTGAAATTAGTCTAAAACAGCTGCAAAAGTCCAGGCCAGAATTTTTTTTTTGTTGACCAGTGTTATTTGCAATATTTTAGTTGTATTAGAGTAAATACACTAGTGTGTGTGTGTGTTTCACCGAAAATTCGGTAAGATGAGCATCGACCCATTGCTCATTTGCACGGGAAGTTGGCTTGAGTCGACTTCCCCCGGGCTCGTGAATGAAAGCGGTAGCGTGCATTGTCATCGCTGGGCAGCACGGTCCTCAATGTGACATCGTTCCGCACTCCGTGGCCGCTTTCTCATCTCGACGCGGTGTTTTTGCGTCTCCGCAGCCGCAACCTCTTTCCACCGCAGGAGGTGGAGAGTCGTTACCTCTACACAGACAACCGCAATAAGCTGTTCGTGCCCATGGGGATTCTACAGCCACCCTTCTACGACCTCCTGCAGAAGAGGTGTGTCCCCCTCCCCTTGTCTCCCCCCCTCCCCTTGTCCCCCCCCTCCTTGTCCCCCCCCCTCCCCTTGTCCCCCCCCCTCCTTGTCCCCCCCCTCCCCTTGTCCCCCCCCCTCTCTCCTCGTCCCCCCCCTCCCCTTGTCCCCCCCCTCCTTGTCCCCCCCCCTCCCCTTGTCCCCCCCCTCTCTCCTCGTCCCCCCCCCTCCCCTTGTCCCCCCCCTCCTTGTCCCCCCCCTCCCCTTGTCCCCCCCCTCTCTCCTCGTCCCCCCCCCCTCCCCTTGTCCCCCCCCCTCCTTGTCCCCCCCCTCCCCTTGTCCCCCCCCCTCTCTCCTCGTCCCCCCCCCTCCCCTTGTCCCCCCCTCCTTGTCCCCCCCTCCCCTTGCCCCTTGTCCCCCCCCCGCCCCTTGTCCCCCCTTCCCCTTGTCCCCCCCCCCCTCGCCTTGTCCCCCCCCTCTCCTTGTCCCCCCCCCTCTCCTTGTCCCCCCCCCCCTCCCCTTGTCCCCCCCCTCCCTTGTCCCCCCCCTCCCCTTGTCCCCCCCTATCCTTGTCCCCCTCTCTGAGGCAGCATGCGTTAAGCATAATCATTCTTGAGTGTCAGTGGAAGTCTACTCGGAGATTATTCATTACGCGTATTGTCGTACGTGTATCTTCTCTCCAGATATCTGCGGTATGGAGCCATTGGGTCCGTCATCGCCAGACAGTTTCTGCATGGGTTCTATGGTGAAGGTAATGATGACACACCATCGTACGTCAATCATAGTTACACCGACATGCCGTCTCCCGTTTTGGAAATTGTGTATCAGCTCCGATCAGCCATAGCAATGCAGGTGGTTTGATGGCTCACAGTTGACGTTTAGAGCAAAGATCCTAGCTCCAGTGGCCTTTGTGTGAGTTTATCTGTCCTCCCATTCTGCACGGGTTTCTTCAGGGTTCTCCAATTACCTCGCATCGCTAAAATCACGCACAGCGTAACTGGTGTTCGCCAAAACAGCCCAATGCTGAAACATGACCTGCAAATTGCTCAATTGGGATCACACAGCAGTAGCAGCAACATCGTTCCCTACTGCGAAATCTTGGCAGGACCCTCCTGGGTACACAGGTGAAATCAAAATCAGATTATGGTCATTTCCCGCTTTGGCCCAGGAAGGGGTTGTGGCGGTAGAGTCGTGACGCTAGTGCCGGTAGAGTCGTGACGCTAGTGCCGGTAGCGTCGTGACGCTAGTGCCGGTAGAGTCGTGACGCTAGTGCCGGTGTGCCCCCCAGGGAGCCAGTATGATGCGAGCGGCGTCCACAAGCCGTGGTGGAGGAACGCGACGTGCGAGAAGTTTGAGGAGCGGGCGCGCTGCCTGGAGCATCAGTACGGGAACTACTCGAGCGGCGGGCTCGCCGTGAACGGCACGCGCACGCTGGCGGAGAACGTCGCCGACAACGGAGGCCTCGACACCGCCCTGCATGTGAGAGCGCCGCCCCGTGCCAACGCGTTCACAAACACAGGGCGCCTGGAGCGGGCCGGTGGGGCTGAGTGCTGTTAGCAGAGAGCGTCTATGAAGGCCGACGTGGCACAAGAGGGGGTGGGTGGCCAGCACCATGCCCGGCCGCCTTTGTTTCCCGAGTGGCGATGTTTACACACCGGACCAGGTACTAATTTTTTAGGCTGAGTCGACCTTTGGGTAGGCCCAGAACCTGTTAAAATAATCGTCACTGGTGTTGGCTGTGAGCAGAAATCGAACTCTGTTCACTGGGTTCGTAGCGCAGCACGCTGACCGCTACGCTACCACATTGCATTGACACACACAGACATACAGTGACACAAAGACGAAGATGCCCACGAACCCCAATCAACATCGCACCCCTGACCAACCCCGCTAATGGCACTTGCTCCCTCTGGTGCGCAAGCTGCTCCAACACATCGCCACAGTGGCGAGCTGTTGACTACCTCACCTAGTATACAGGAGGTCGTGGGTTCAAACCCAACCCCAACGCCTGTGTATTTGAAGTTTCTATGTTCTCCCAGTGGTGGCATGGATTTTTCTCCGGGTCCTCCGGTTTTTCTCTCCACATTTAGAACCAACGTGCATTTAAAGTATTTTTCTTGTTCATGTGATGATAGCCACTTCGTTGAGCTATCATTTCTGGCCAGGTCACTTCTGGAAAAGAGCTGTATAGTTTAGTGGGCCTTACCTGGTCAAATAAAAACATTGTTTAGTTTTTAGTTTATTTTGAAAGAAAAACTGCGGTGGCCGTCCTCTTGGGCGCGTTCTCTCCTTGGGCTTCCACTCCGCCGTTAGTCTCGACCACCGGCCACCAATCCCTCCTTGCCGTGACACGTTCCGCCCAAACCCCACTCACTGTTATTATTCAATATTTTAAACATCCCTTGATGCCCACGACCACAGCAATAAAATATCAAACTGCTCTTGAAAAGTAGCTGTTAACTTTTGCAAGGAGGCACCTCTGTGCCAGTTATTGTTCTGGAGAAAGTTTTGGACGAAAACCAAAAACCATCGCGGGTTACAAACTGAAAATAGTGGCAGCTGCAGCTGTGGCAGCGAGGTCACGAGAACGCATCGATACAATACCACGCGCCATGCAACAGCGGCACGAGCTTGCAACACGTAATTACAAGGGTTGTATAATAAGTCTCTTAGAATTGTTTGGGCTTATAAATAGTCAATAAGCTCAAAATAAGTTGAATGTGGAGGCCGCTGCCGATGACTGCAGTGTTACAGCTGTGTCGAAGCGAGGTGGTCACATTGAAACTCGCGGTCATTCCCAGCATCTTGCTTCGCAAGGGCCGATGCAGTTGTGGTGCCGGGAGTGATGATAAAAAGTGTCTTGAGACTCAGTGAGGCTTTTGTTCAGTAAACGAGAGGAATAATAATGAGAAATAATGTATCAGAACATTTTCAAACTGTTCGCAAGTGTCTAATGAGTTGTGTGTGCGGTGCTGTGTCAGGCCTATGAGGACTGGATCGCCAAGAACGGAGAGGAGCCACAGCTGCCCTTCCTCGGCCTGAATGCTCGACAGACGTTTTTCGTCAGCTTTGCTCAGGTGCCCCACTCCCTGCACCCAGCGCTCCGCTCCGTGCCGCGTCACCGCCACTCGGCACCCCTCGCACCCGCCACTTAAGGATAAACCACCGTGCGCGTACGAGAAGCACGGGAGTGCGCACGTCGACTTGCACGTAGGCACGCTACGTACAGCGCACTCGTGTTCCCTGCGGCTCACAGCACTGTCACACGACAAATGTAAAGCCTGCGCATGTTAATTTCTTGTGAACAGCTAAATTAGTCGTTCGTGTTGCCACTGGGTTTGTTTTGCTTACAGCAAAAAGTAGCCTTTTCATGCAATTTTAGATAAATCATTGCTTATATGTTGTTAAATTTAAAAAATACATAACTTTTTATGAAACCTGCTCTAGGAAACCGGTAGCAACACGGCTGTGAGTGAGCTACTTGGGGCTCCCAAAGTGTAACATGTGTAATGGGTTCCGGAGACACTTGTAGAGGTAACTTATTTATTACAATGCAACACCTCAACAGTCCTGATACTCTGTTACAGCCTAGGTACACAGCCTAGGTACACAGCCTAGGTACACAGCCTAGGTAGACAGCCTAGGTACACAGCCTAGGTACAGAGCTTAGGTAGACAGCCTAGGTACACAGCCTAGCGACGCAGCCTAGCGACACAGCCTACTCTTAGCGTACCTGACTCTAGCTACGCTCTGGGGTCCTCCGGCTACAATTACCCTAGGGGAGGCTACCTGACCCGACCCAGCCAAGGTGCGGGTCTAGACTCTGGCTTCCTCGGAACTCGCCCTTACAAGGACGTAGAGCCGGGAGTCCCAGAGTCCCACCACTGGCCCGCACAATGTCCCGGCCCTTACAAGGACAAGCGGGACGAGGGGGTCCAGGGTCCTAAGCTGGCTGGTCTTGGGGCTTGAGCTGCGACTGGCCCCGATCGGCCAGGGAGCGACCCTTTTATGCCTCTTGCCCATCGAGGGGTGGGGTTGTGTGGGGTCCCAGATAGCCCACAGAGCGCACACAGCCCCCCGTTGGTGGCGCCAAGGGGCTTAGCTGTCTGGGTTGCCTGGGATCCTAGGGCCTGGCGCCGAGGGCTTATCTGTCTAGGATCCTAGAGCCCCCAGCAGCCCCTCCCCTCTTGGGCTGGCACAGTGGCCCCTCCCCTGGGGGTCCGAGCTACCTGCTGGTAAGTGTGGCCCATCTATGGCACTACACATGTGACGAGAGTTGGTGGTCGGGGAACCATCTTCTAGGATTGTCAACCAAACCCAGACATGCTCGTCAATCAACCTCGGCCTACCATTCCTCTGCGGTATCCTAAATACAGGAATTCTCTGCTATATGTAAAGGATGTGTTCCTGCTACTTAACTCGAAATTACTTCAAGTGAATTCTAATTTCCCATAGACATAATGTTAAAATCAGAGGTTGCGTTCCTGGCCAACATTTCTGGAATAAAATATGTGTGACTAAATGTCATGAAGTGCACAAAATGCATATGATTAACATATATTTTAACTCATGATGAATACAAATAATTAGGTGAACTTATCAGAGATGGATTAAGAGCTTGCTGATCGAGTCCTCTAGGGGTGAGCAGTGGTGGAGTTACGCAGACAAAGAGGCAGGGTCTCTCCTGCCTCTTCATCGGACAATGACGCTGGAGCCGCAGGAATATTCACTCGAGAAAGCTGCCTCCCTTCTGGGCTCTTCTTCGGACATTCTGGCCTGATTGCAGAACTTAAAGAAATCTGTCCCAAGGCAGCTGGACAGCATTTTTCATCTTCTGCTGGTACAGCTTCTTGTAGGCAGTGAATGCCAGTGAACATTCGTGGTGGTGGTGGTGGTGGAGGTATTGATTTATTGGCTCTTCCTCAGCTCGTTGTTGTTACAGCTGCATCCGATCCTCGTTAGACAGCTCCTCCTTGCCATGGGACTCCACCAACTCCACCATGTTGCCCGACATAGTGGAGTCCAGCTTGTGTCTACTGTCCAGTATTACATTGCAAAATAGTCCGTTTTCACAGCGTACGTTCCTCGCTTAAAAATTGCTCAATATGTTGTGCATTTTTTTAAAGAACGCATATGCGAAACATTAAACTTATGAGGAAATATGTTCCCTAATCCATCAGCAATGTATATAAGCGAACTAATCGCAGGGAATTCCTGTAAATGCTCAAAACGAGACCAATAGCAGATCTTGGTAAATCTCCGTTCCTACCACCTGAATACAGATGCGAATTCCGTGACGGGTGGCTTCCCCAGCGGGTAGCATTGGTTTCTCTGTCCTCATGTCCATCTGGCCACCCTCCTTGTGTCTCCATCCAGTCCCTGTGCTCCGCGGAGACGCCGGAGCACCTGCGGGAGACGCTGGCGACAGCCCCCACCAGCCCGTCTCGCTTCCGTGTGCTGGGGGTCCTTTCCAACTCCGCCGAGTTCTCCAAGGCCTTCGCCTGCCCCCAGGGCTCCGCCATGAACACGGAGAAGAAGTGCCGCGTGTGGTGAAGGTGCCCGTGGGAATGGACAGCGGCGGCTGCGGGAGCAGCGTGCCGTCCCGCCACGGCACGTCTGCTTCGAGTCGGCTTGCTGTTGCCACTCGGTCCAATGAGCCCAGACCAGATATATTACTTGTCGGTACCACCTGAAGCAGCAGCGCTTCCGTGGGTTACAATTTGTGTGCCCAATGACTGAAGTGATAACCATTCGTAATGAGTGGGTTATCAAATAATCCACTCGTATTGGCAGCATAAAAACGTTGGCATGTTACCTTGGGTGGTACAAATTTTTGCTCTTGGCCATGGATTAACACTCAACCCATTTCGATTGGTTATAATTAACCGTATTTGTGAGGTATTGCACATCTCAAAAGATTAAACACAGACGGCCAATCGTGCCACCAAATCAAGAGGTTTTAATCCTTGTTAGGCCTCGCCAATACAATTGGCTTAAACGTGTTACTTTGAACCCAATTAGGAAATGCTCTTTTATACGAGCAGTCATTTTTATACTGATTCTTGTGTTTAAAATAAAACACATTCGATAACTTTTTAAAGAAATGCAATAGGGGCAGTGATTGTTCCCTCGGTTGGATGACGTCTTCGAGCGCCGTCGACCCCGAACCCCGTTGAACTGGCACGGCTTCCCCGCTCCCCGACCACAGCATCGTGCCTTCCGCGGCAGCACTCTCTCGCAGCTACACATTTTGAACATGCGTGGCAGAGGCTTCGCTGTCGTTTTCCCCGAGAGCATTTTATCCACATTTTTGGACGTTAATGTGTAGATGCACATCAACGTGTTTGTTCCGTTAACGTAGCTGTAGTCAAGTTGTAATGCTCTTTAGTATAAGGCGTAACATTTAAGATAATTTGCTATATATTTAGTGAGTTGATTACGCGCAACTGTGTGTTCTCAAACTGTGCTTTAAACGTTGATGCTGTCACAGATTCGATTGGCTGGTACACACATCACCCCCACGAGTCATAGGGCATCGATTTTGCTTGGGACAGGAGGAGGGTTCTTGGCAAACAGGAGGGAAGTGGAGCGTTGCGTAGGCTTCCCACGGTCGGTCATTGGACCCCAGATATTCGGTCGTGGGTCGACGCTGCCCCACGGATTGCCCGAAAACCGAAGAGACCAATGGTTGGAGGCAGTGCGCGCACGTGGCCTTACTTGGTGGTGGTGTAGTCGTAGTTATCGCTGCATGTGAACGGTACGTTTCATCAATTGTTTTATTTCGTTTTTATTTGTTATCGTTGTCATTGCTGGATAATCGTTTAGCCGCCTGTGTTTCACTCGTTTGCTTTGGTTTGTTGTTGTGTTCAGAAATGTTTCAAAACCTGCACCTTAGTGAGCAGCCCCACGCCCGTTTACGCCCAACAACATCCTAGCCATGGACAGCAACCGCAACGCTAACCACATACTGGTTATCCGCACCGTCACCATTGGAGTCATCGCAATTAAAATGCTGTAGGGTTTATCGAATGAGTTCTGAATTGTCAAGTAAACTGCGCAAGGCCGTAAGCCCTTGTCGTGACTGCTGGCCGAGCCGGGAGCTCGCCGTCACGCGATCAATGCGGCGCGCTGCTCATTAAACAACAAAGCTGGAGTGCGATCGCTCTCACTTCCATCTTAAAGGATGGAAACGACTTTGAGAGCGCGAGCACGGGGAAGGCTGGGTAGGGGAGAGCGAGCTGGAGGGGTACTGAGGAAATTAAGGGACGAGCCACTATCGACAGACCCCCAGGGCTGCTGGTTGACGGGGGGAACAAGTTTACCCGCGAATTGTACGAATGTGAACATCCCCTGGGGCCTGTTCACAGGTCCACTGCTCACGACTTGTGACTGACCTTGGCCTTAGCACCATCGGCCAAGGATGATGCATAGTGGACGGGCTGGGTGGGGAACGCATTCTGGGCAGTGTTGCTGCTGCTGAGCGGATGTTGGTTTGTCGGTCCCTCTGCGGGTTTCCTTGTGGTCTGCCATTTAGAGAAGCACACTTACTGCACACGGTATCTGATTCCTGACAAGAGAGCGGATTTTGGATGGTGATATGTGGCCCTTTGGGTTTACATTAAATGTAGAGTTGCTGGACAATGCAGCGGTAAAGTTAAAGATTCTATTCAGAGTAAAGCATGTTTTGTGAAATGTCCCATTTTTGTTGAAAATTTGCACTTTGAATATGTTTTCAGATTTTAGACTTGCTCAACTGCAACGTTGTGTACCTTTTAATGCCACTTCTGTATCGTGTTTTTGCGCTTCCTGTAGTCAACATGCAAACAATCATGCCACTACTGGACAGTGTGCAGACATTGAACTGAACTTTGACAAGTCTCACACTGCAATTCTCGATGACAGAGCTTCTTGCACTATGTCGAAACCATAGTCGGCTCTACCTCTGCTCACGGTAGCCTGTCACCTGCTGATCATGTACTGGATGTTGCAGTTCTTTCGCGCCGTACGTAGCCAACTGTGCTAATCGGAGATGTGGGAGAAAGACAACAAAATTATTTTGATCAAATCAATGCACAATATCAGTCTCATTTCAAACGTAGGAAATAATACAAATGGACATGTGCTCGGCAATCACCGCCGCCTCCTGGGAAACGAATGCTACGCGCCGAGTCACGCCGTGCCGCGCAGGGACAGCTTCCCACGGGGAGACGCGTCGTTACACGAGAGAGATGCGAATGCTCATCCGTTCATTCGTCATAAAGTAGTGACGACCACTAAAGTGTCTCGCGCAAATGTCTCTCGACGTTCTACGGCGTGATCCTGAGAGACTTGGAGACGCCCTGACCCTCCCAATGGGAATGCACGCCGCGTTGTTCGGCTTCAGCACGGCTCGTTGCCCTTGCCCAAGTTGGGGCAACTCTGGTAAATCCACGTCTCCGTGGTGGGCGCGAGTTTTCACTGTTGACATCACACCAGGTGGGGTACTGTTTTATTTTTAATGAAGGAGTGATGGGCTCAGTTAACCCCCAACCAAGATTTTAACTTGCGTTCATCCCTTTCCTTGCCAAATATTCTAACCACTGACCCACTCAGCCAGATAATATACAAGACACTTATACAGAACAAAACGATGGTCAGTCGCACGGTGAAATGAGTAAATACGCAGACCAGACGCCTCCACATGAAAAAAAAATGTTTACACATCCAATCAGCCACAACGCCTTCTGGGAGCACATAGCGGCATTGGTTCAGCACGAGCAAAAGTCTGTACTGGCTTCAACATTCAGTTGTCTCATCAGGCCTGGATGAATCCATGCTGGGGAACAGCCAGATTTCCATAGGCAAGGACCCTTATGTTAGATACGGATCCTCGTTTTGACACGCAACTATACTGCATGGAATTTAACAGAAATAACTCGTGAGGGTTGGTAATTATAACTCCATGGTGATATTAGAAAGGCAAGTTGAGACATTGGGTGGCCCGTAAACATGAGTTTTGTTGGGATTAGGATTCTGGATCCCAACACCCATGAACCAAACCCCGTGTCCTTCGGTGAGTCAAGTTGAGGCCTCCGCTGTAGCACCGCCTGGCTCGACACGCTGCGTGTAGCTATTGCCGCCATGTGCCGTGCTCATTCGATTCAAGCGAATTGCCTCATCCTACCCACAAACCCCGCAGTCACCCGTGTTCACGTTCAGGGTGACTGGAGGCTTCCTCAGCTGTTGGCAGCGGGGTTTTCGTATCGAGCGGTATTTGCTGCTTTCACGTTTTGCACAAATGGACAGTCAAATTTTCTTGAAGAGTTGATTGATGGATCGTTGATTTCATAGTTTTGTGAGACTAATTGTTTCGTATCCCAACGTTGACCCTGAAATGTGTGTACAATAAAATTGTTACCCAAATATAAAATCACGCAACTTTCAACATAAGAAACGATTAATGTCGCTGTCATCACATTCAATGCTGCTGGAAATGCAGCGTTGCATTGTACTTGCCACTGTTGTGTGAGATTCTGTTGGAGAATAACTGGCGTGACAAACGTTCCAGATGTTAAGTAAACATTTGTTGGGATGATACTACGTAGATAAGACGAACATTTTATATTCAGTTTGGTTTTATGGGGGTGTCTGGATACTGGTGAGAGATTCGCAATATAATCCTTGTTAACTAGGAGTAATTTTTTTCTGCAATAAAATGATCTGCAAATACCTGAGCCTTATTCATTCTTGATCAATGAAGGCAGCGGAGCGGTGCAGCAGTAGCGCCCATACCAAGAAGTCCTCAGTTCGATTCCCACCTCGGGTGCTTTTCTGTGTGGAGTTTGTATGTTCTCCCTCTGTTCTGCATGGGCTTCCTCAGGGTTCTGCATTTGTCTCCGATAGCATTTAGCCAATATCAGTTATGTTATGTGTTTTTTTACGTCCTCCACATGCTCAAAGAAATTTCCTACAAATTACTCAATGAGAGTACACAGCAACATCGCCCCCATACTGCGAAAACTTGGCAGGACCCTCCTGCTCAAGTGAGGCTTTTCGAGGTAAATAATCCTTAACGTTAAATGGGCCTAACTGCCCTAACATGACAGAATGGGACGACTAAAGCTCTCCTGGATAAATGCCATTGCCACAATGTGTTCTTGCAAGAGCACGAATGCATGTGAATGGACCACCGTGTTGACTGCCATTTTCATAATGCGTTAACTGTCTTGGCATGTCCCTGAAGTCGGCGGGGGGGGGGGCACCCCAAACCTGCAAAAAAACAGCCCCCCCCCCACCCCCTTGTTAAATATCCAAATGGTGACAAGAGTCGGAGTGTCCTCTCTGCTCAAGTGGAGCGATTATAATCTCTGTCGATAAATCCCATCGGAGCAGAAGAGCGAGTGCAAGGCTGTGAAAGAGAGTTTTATTAACACAGCCAGATGTGCCGTTTTCCTTATCCAAACCACCGTTTCTGAATAACTGGTGGGCCATGTTTGCTAAACTTTCTGAGCGAGTGGTCTGGATTCTGCTGCTCGGGGTTGTTGTGCGTGCTACGCTGTACACCTCCACGTGTTGCTCATTCCAAGTGGAGCGCCGCGCCGCTCCACGCACGGAGCCGCTCTGCATCGGAAGTGGAACGAAGTGCAGGAGACCGAAGCCAGTTCATGAGTTTAGGCGATGAACTTCTGCAATAAGAACACAGTTTAACACGTAGGCTTTCACGACCAATATCCATAATAGAGGTTTTTTTGGGGGAGACCACACAGAAATCTGCTCTTATCAAGACGCTCATTCATCGAGCTAAGAAAGTGTCAGATGGTGACAGTCTGAGAAGTGAAATTCAACATGTTAAAGAAGCGCTGCAAATGAACGGTTACAATGATGCACAAATCAACAGGGCATTGAATGCCAAAACCAAATAAAATTACACGAGCATTGAAACTGCCCAAGTATTTAAAAAGATCAAAATACCTTACATTACGGAAGTAACTGATAAACTAGTCAGATGTTTGGAAAAACAAAATATCAGTCAGTTTTGTCACGGTACATAAAATACAGAAATTAATATCTGGTACAAAAGATGTATTACCGAAGCTATCAAGAGAAGGTGTGTACAGGATTAACTGTACGTGTGGCAAATGTTATGTTGGGCAAACAGGACGAATTATCAGTTTTTAAAAACCTATTAAGGACGAAATAATCAGCACGAGACTAAAATAACATCAGAGAAATATCAAATACTCCAAAATACAACTGTCAGCAGTAGCAGAACACACGTGCCAACAAGGACACTCAATTGGTTTTGATGTTGAAGTTCTGTGCAAAACTAGCTACTACTGGCCAAGACTAATTCGAGAATCTATCTAAATTTAAAGAAATATAAATAATTTTTACCGTGCTGCGTGGATGCGAATAATCAAATAATACATTTGTATTTTTTTCGATTTAAAGCTTTCGTGACTGCAGGGATTCATCTTCTTGGTTCTTTCGGTAAAGTCACGTAGAAGGGAAATAATAAAAGAATAAAAATAAAACATAATAAAATAATTCTCACGACGTTTCGGACGTTGTCTTTCCGACAGCCCTGTTCTTCACCTGAGGACGGCTGCTTGCGTTGTGGCCGAAACGTCGTATTTTGTTTTATTTGTATTTTATTATTTCCCTTCTACGTGACTTTACCGAAAGAACCAAGAAGAATACATTTGTAGTGATGTCACTATGTGGTGCCCGGCTTACGAAGCCACGGCGGATAATGTGTTGGCATTACGTGTAGCCCGCTTACTGGGCATAGTACCAGCCCTAGCGGGGCTTGGGTGAGCGCTGATCAGCGCGGAGGCACCACGTACAGTGTGCGGTGCGGGCCTTCGGTGAGGGAGCGAGAGGGATTGTCAGCCAGCCAGGGTTACGTTGGGGCATGGTACGCTGGTTGACCTGCCGACACGTGACCAGATGATATTGGAGGGGGGCCACCGGTGGACGGGGGCCGTTGGGTGGTCACGTGGTCTAAAGGAGCTCTCGGGAGCCTTTGGGAAAGAGCTCGAGAGATCTAGAAGGTGGGCGGGGCGAGGGGCGGAGCCAGCCCCAGCCCAGGCCGATATAATGGGGGCCCCCGTGAGGGGCTCGGGGTTCTTCAGGTTGCTGGTGATGAAGATCCACGTCGGGTAAAAGAAGCCTCTAGCCACGCGGTCCAGGACCCAGCTTGTGGTCCTGGCTGGGACCCAGCTAACCGTGTCGAGTTCTGCCGTAGTGTGGCTAGATGAGCATTCAACACCCAAGTGTAGGTTGTGTTATACTGGTAGGAACGAAGTGGACCAGCCTACAATAGATGATATCGTCCGTCCGTCCGTCCGATGTCCGATTACGTGTAGCAACATCGCCCCCTACTGAAAACACTTGGCATGACCCTACAAAAACCTTTAGACTCTGTGAGGCTTTCCTGGCTAAACAAGTGTAACATTCCCTTATAATTCCCTCAGATAGCTTTTAATTAAAACATTTAAATTAATGAGGCTTTCCTGGCTAAACACGTGTAACATTCCCTTATAATTCCTTGAAATTAAATTAAAAACTCACAGCGCCCTAAAGCCTACAGCTAGGCCTAAAGCCTAGAACTAGGCCTCAAAGTCTCCCTTCGTATCGTACCTCCGCGTGTATGAAAGGGAGTTAATGTTTAACAATGTTACATTCCCTGATGTTTTAAAATATAAACATTTACATTTAAAGCTTTTACATTAATAATTAAAACATTTAAATTATACATTAATAATTAAAACATTTAAATTAAAAATTAACTCACAGCGCCCTAAAGCCTACAGCTAGGCCTAAAGCCTAGAACTAGGCCTCAAAATCTCCCTTCGGATCGTCCCATTAGGTGTAGCAACATCGCCCCCTACTGCAAACACTTGGCAGGACCCTAGAAAAACCTTTTGACTCAGTGGGGCTTTCCTGGCTAAACAAGTGTAATAATACATTATGTTTATATTCTTTGGTTATTCGTTCCTACCAGCCCACCCCGCAGGGTCCTGTTGTTATGTTGAGTTAGTGAAATAAATAGTGTTTGTCCACTGTTGACTTTTCAGTTGGACTCACTACACATTGTTTAAATGCGTGCCTATAAAGGGCACCATACTTCAATAGGGATTACCATTGGTACGCTATTTTAATACACACATTGGACAGGAAGGACAAGATCAAAGGGCTCGTATAATGCACATGCATAATGTACGTTGACTCATTAACCCCCCCCCCCCAACTTTGCGTAAGAGCGCAGTGTGGTCACCACATCTACACCTCTATATAAGGAATGAAACAGTTAGACTTCACAAATCTGGCTGTCGCCTGATGAAGCTGGTTGTAATTACTGGCGAAACGTAGTCAGATTGCAAATGTTGTGGCTTGGCTCTCCAACACACCGGTGTGCTGTACTAGTGTTCTGTTTACATGACAACCCTTACTAGTTGGCCGTGTCGGGTGGTGGCGGGTTTTAACAACACATTTATATATTTACGCGCTCTAACTCAAAAGAACTCAAATATTAATAACACAGTCGTTGTAAAATAAACCAAACAAATTAAATTCATTCTGTAAGGCACGTGCAATTTTTATTCTGTGTTTATTTGCAGAACTGCTATAATACATCAGACAGGAATCATCAAATGGACAGCAGATAATACAGGAGACAAAAGAGTGAACTGGAATATAATGAACCCGAAGGGAAATATCCATGCCAGGTGACCCAGCAGTGGGGTCAGTGGTTGGTTGAGCTGCTTCCAATTTCAGTCTGGCTGGGGGATAACTCGGCCCATCATCCCTTCAGGGTCACTCAAAATGAATGACCCCTTTGTGGTGATGTCAACAGTGGTTGTACAATGGAGGGAGTCACCTCTGCCATGGGAACGTGGAATTTCCACCACTGGCTTAGGGTTGTAACAGGAGATGAGCAATGCCTATTTTAAGCAGGCGATCACTTTAATGAAAAAACAGCCAAAAGAGGCACAAGGTGAATCGACATGAATGGATAAAGACAGTAGAGTGCAAAAGAAGCCGAGTTGAATGAAAGCAGCCTGAACATAGGCAAACTTGGCTTACATAGTACAACTCGAACATAGACACACTTGTCTTAGAAGACATAGTACAGGCTTCATTCCCATAGTATGTCTTGCGTATTACCAAGTTGAAACTCGAACAGCCGCTATAAACTCCAGGATGGAGTGCACGAGGCTATCCCCGTCGATGAGACCGGTGGTGCAGAGCCCGCGTCTCGCGCTGCCGATCGTGGCTCCACGCTCGGTGCAGCCAGTTCCTGGCTAATCCTGCAGACAGACGGCGGCGGCTTCACTCGCACTGCGTCCAGCGGCAAAGTCACACGCGTACGCGAGACACGCATTGAACAAATACAAAAATGCTAATGTGTCCATCTCCGATTCATTTAGTTCCTATTATTATTATTATCCAAAACGCCAGTATAATACATATTACACAACACTAGGTGCATAATGAAACATTCTAATGAAATTCCATTCTATGTTCATGATACGTGTATAAAACCGTGTATGAGAGAATGTTTTATTATTACAAATTCATGGAAATGAAATGATATTCCATCTTTTAGGCTCATGCGATCCACCAAAGCTCACTTCCAAAGTTATGGTTTCCAGGCATGCATAGCCACCACCACCACCCGGCGAATATTGGATGCTCTTTCTCTTGTGGTGTCTATCATTAGGCCAGGCGTTAGATTGCTCAGCAGGGCCACCTGGAACCTGCCCCTCCTGGTGCCAGCCCAGTAGCTGGCATCACACGAAAGCTTTCACTCGTAATCCTATTGTGCTGTTTCTCTTTGAAGATTTTGCCACGAACTACTGCAGGCACCATCAATATTATCAAAATAAAAAAGACGAGCATTACCTTTTTTCCTTCGTACTCCTCCTCCTCCAGAGCTCCCTTTTCCTGCACAAAAACAACATTGGGATGTTCTCATTCCAAGAGTTTACGTAAACAATAAATCAATAAAAGCCCCTGGCAAGTAACAATCTGTAAGTTTTCCATGAATTGCGCTGCAGTGGACGGCATTACTGGGGTTATGATTTTTGAACACTTGTAAGTTTAAAAATAACAGTCAACGTGATTTCCTGCTCAAATGACAATCGCGGCGGTGCTCGTTTCAGCCCTGACCCAGTAGTGGAACTTCTTTCCTTTGGTGGGGGTGCATCTATCCATACTACCACCACTGTTGACTTTTTCAAAGAGTGCAAGCTGGACCAGTTACACGCTCCCATTGCGAGCTGCCTGCTTCTAGTGCTAGGCCACCTGACCAGGTTATCAAACTGACAAAAGCCACAATCAATGTTCAGTCATAATTAGAGTAAAAGCTGAAACGTTATTGCTGCTGTAACTGTGTTCACACCATACCAGCAAGAGCATTAACATTTAATATTTTACTGGTTAACAATTATATATCAACATTTGCATATCCACATGTGCAAAGCAGCTACTTTTGAAGGCTGATATGCATTTCCACATGGGTTATTCAACAGACTCTTTCGCCAAAAAGTTAATGGCTCCTGCCAAATAATAACTTGAATCCTAACGTTAACACAGAAACATGGGCGGCAGAGCGGCGGCGCTGTGGTAACACTCCTCCCTCGCAGTAAGACGTCCCTGGGTTCAATTCCCGACACGGACGTCGTTCTGTGTGGAGATTTACCATTCTCCCCCTGTTCTGCATGAGTTTCCTGTGTGTTGTCCGGTTTCAGAACACAACAACTCAACGCACAAAGGCACTGGAAGCAGTAACCGAATCTGAGCGCTTCTTGCTGCCAGGCACGAGCGTTACCACCGTGGAACACTGCCGTCACTAAAAGAGCCCTTCATGCCAAACACGGCAGCATGGCTGGTGGGGAGGCCAGAGGCTTTGCCGGTACCTGCTCGTCGTCGCCGTGCCGGCGGCTCTCCTTAGCCGCGTGGCGGCTGCGCTCCTCCTCGATCGCCTGGTAGAAGTCGCGCTCGGCCCGCGCCACCAGGTCGTGGCGAGACTCCTCGGCCTGGCTCTCGCGCCCTTCCTCGTCACGTCCCTGCTCCGAGCGGCCCCTCTCCTTCAAACGCATCTCCCGGTGTCGCGCCTCCAGGATCTTCTCTCGCTTTGTCTCCCGCTCGAACATCTCGGCGTTGGAAGGCAGGCGGAAAAGGTGGCGTTAAACACCATGCTCTACTTCAAACTTCCCCTTTCAAAAATGACACTTTGTCGACAGAATAATGGCTGCTTTTTTTTCAGTGGTACCCTACAAATCTGTATTCAGTAGGGGTCGATCCATTGTAGGACCCCACCTAAACCCAGAGTGTGGGAGACTGTAAGAGCAGATGTCTGAGGTGCCAGCTGTGCAACTTTTGCAGAATCTGACGCAAGGAGGCCTTGTAACTTGAGCAGCATTGGCCGCGACAATCTATTTATCTTGACGGACCTTGTAACATGCCATTAGTTCAGGTAAATCGCACGCAAATACTAAAGTGACTTTTCTGTGAAGACGGCTCCGAATGAAAGGAGGTCAAGGGTATCCCCAAACTGTAACGGAGGATGTGGCCTCACTTACTGCAGTGATGAGAGCCTTCTCATTGCGCTGCAGTGACGAGAGACCGGAGGAGAGCTCCAGGAGCGTCGCTGTGCCGTTCTGGGACCCACACGCCAAAAACCGCCCATTGTCCTGAATCCGCAGGCTGTGCAGGGGCTCATCGCTCACCTAGACACATAACGCAGGCAATGCCATTCCAAGGATGTACCTTTCCATGCTTCTTTGCACACTTTCCATTTCTGTCATTTTATTTGACAATGTCCAAGTTTTTGGTACGTGTTAAATACCATTAACATGGACTGCTTAAATACGTTCTTCTTTGGGCACGTGGGTACGTTATCCAATGTTAACCCAGTCACGGGAGCATGTCCGTGAACACAGACAGGCGGTGATGTGGCACAGTGACCGTGGACGAGCGTATCACATCCCACTGCGAGTGAAGCACCATGAGGCGCTGCATGCGGGTGGCGCCAGCTGCTGAAGGAGCAGAGGCAGCCCGCCTGGAGTCCGGCAGCGCTCCGGAGGCAGCAGCAGCAGCAGTGGGGATTGGTGGATCACACACAGATGTTGTCAAACCCCCTTCTTACCGGTGGCCGTTGAGAAAGAGCTGTACCCTGGCTCACCAGGAGAAGCGGCACAGCAAAGTGCGGACTAATATCATCATTCAACCTATAAGGGATAGAGTGTTTACCCCTTGCACACTGTGGGTTTTCCTGAATTATCTGATTTCCTCCCATTCATATGAACACTCATTAATCGGCTGGAAACATATTCATCTATATGCATTTAACGGCAGCAGTTTCTTTGGGGAAACTAAGGGACATGTCTCGGACCGTGTTCGTGAGCATAAGGCAGATTTGAAACACGGTAGGACCAATACTTCTGCCGTGGCTGATCATTGTTTTAATGCGGCTGGCTCACACGAAATTGATTTCTCTAAGACGATGGAACTTTGCAAGCCTACTGGCTATCAACAAAGATTCGTTCATGAAGCCATCCATATATACAGACACAGAGACAATTTCAACCGAGAGGAAGGTTATAGACTCAGCAATCATTCGAAAGATGTCATCAACCACTTTTGGTCATGACTTGATTTGTGTTTTCTTGTCATCCTCCACCGTCAGCAGTGTGGGTGTGTGGAGCGAGGTGCAATGCTTTGATTAGTGTAGACCTACTGCCGGTGTCAGAGCTTTCTCCGACATTAACATAAGCTGCCCCACCCATCTCTAAACCTTTATAAACAGCTCTTTGATTGGTGTAGACATACTGTCGGTGTCGAGCTTTATTCTACATTAACATTAGCTGCCCCACCCATCTCTAAACCTTTATAAACAGCTTGCCCTCAGAGGCTAACCTCCCTGTTCCTGATGATGACCGCTTGAATTGCGATCGAAACGTCGTGATATTTTTATTCACTTTATTTTTATTATTTTATTGTTATTTTTTATATCTACGTGACTTTACCGAAAGAACCATAGAATATGCATCTAACGTGTTTGCAGTTTGCATGAGTGCCGCTGTTATAAAAACGCGTATTGTTACTACGACTACCTGCAGAGTGAGAGTCGCATTGTTCTGCTTGAACAGCAGGTCCCACACGTCGAGCGAGCCATCCATCTTGGTGGTAAAGAAGACGGCCGGGCGCACCGGACTCCAAGAGCCGTCGGTCAGGTACGACATGTGGTACCTGCAGAGAACCACCACTTGGCTACTAACGCACAGCATCGCAGGGGCTCGCTGAAATGACCTTTACCCGAATTTTAAATCGAGTTGCCACCTGTTCAGGAAATTGAGATCTGCGTTCAAGTGGCAGGAATTGATTTGTAGTGAGATCTGGTTACCGGTATTTTGTTGAATTTCATTTTTACAATAACCTGCATAGTTTTGATAGACCTAGGCTGACTGGCGGATATGTTTAGGTGCCATCTGTAGAAAAGATGGCAGACCTAGTCTGAACTTTGAGACCGATCGTGAGCCAAGTGCTCCAGCCACAGCACCAGATGGCAAGGAACGGAATATAACAGTAAATACGTGACGGGTTCTTTGCACTCACTTTGTCCACATGATGGACGAGTCACGGATTTCTTCTGACCAGATGCGAGCGGTCCAGTCTCCAATGGTCAGGAAGTTTTTGGGAAAAAACGGATGTCGCTGCAGGGCGTAGACAGGACCGTGATGGCCGCTGTAGGTGCCCACGATTTTCTCCGCCGGGGTCTTGGCTTTGCGGTTGCAGGACACCACCATCCCCTGCTCTGTCCCCACCATGAACTTGGTGGGCTGCGTGGGACACGGCGTGTCAGGTTAATACGGGAGGATTCCCTCCTCAGACGCCAGTGATCGCTGCCAACTGCATCAAGATGTTGTCAGCTGGCAACATCCAGAAATTGTAGGAAAATGACAATTACATCAAACGCGCATGTCACTGTGAAATTGTAAGATATTCACTGTTATTCTTTGGGTCTTTCGGTAAAGTCGCGTAGTATCTATGTGACTTTACCGAAAGACCCAAAGAATATGAATTCCTGCAGTCACGAAAGCTTTAAGTCAAGATATTTACTGTTCTTTAAGACGAGGACCTTTTTTTGAATTTTAACACGTCATATTTTCCGGTTCTTTTCTTTCCAAAGGGAATTTTCAGGGAGAGCCAACTTTGGCAACTTCTCCTGCCTAATGTTCCTCATGTCCATCTTATGCTGCGCTTACCTTTGAACAAACGCGTCCATTGCTTTCACGGCTGTGCTGGCCGAGAACTCTGATGGACGCTCACCCCTCTCAATCCTCACTCCAACATCAAACTCACCGATCTAACTGCTGTCCTCCTGTCTGCAGGTGGTCACCGACTTTTGCACTCGACAAAAAGGTGTCAGTTTTGTTGCCAGATAGAAGGGTAAAGAACCAATTATCAACCATTACGGTGTTGTGCTGTGTTCTACTTTCCATTTGGAGTTGAATACATCGTTTGTAAAACTGGGTCTAGTTTTAGAAAACTGAATTTGATCGTGAAAAGTAACATATTGGTTTGGCAAAGATGAAAGTTTTAAATCAGTGCATATTACCTGTGATGGCAGATAGATCAGAAGAATCTGCCAAGTGCTCAGAGAAGCATGGAGAGGTGCATAGTCGGAATTACATTGGAAGTCAGAGGTATGAGCATGTGGATGAGAGAACAAATGCAGTTGTAAGACATCGATGGTATTGACTGTAAGTGGGTCTCTGTGGGACACAGCGCTAGATGGGACAATGGCCGGTGGATGCGACTCATGAAGGAATAGCAGCAAATGGAGAGAACAGGCCCGAGATGACAACAAGCAAAGAGATGGGCCGATGAAATCAACTCATTGGCAGGAGCGAGATGGATTGGGGCATCACAGAAACATGAGGTATGGTGACAGCATGGACATGCTTTCATCCAGCTATGGATCAACCATGGCTGATGATGATAATGATGTTCCGCTATACGATATACATTTGTCCCGATACTATACACTGCACACTGTCGACAACACTACACAAGTCACTAGTTTCACTCATAAACCAAAAGTGTGTTTGAAGCCCTAAATATTTACCCTTTAAACTATTTACTGCCTCATAAAAAGCCGAGACACGGAACGACATACATGGACGCTGCGATGACGCTGCACCAGCTCACTCCAGCAAATGAAACTCTGCTTGCCGACTGATTACGCCCTAATGAACCCGACACAGCATTGGTGCACGTAAGCACCGGTCGCACTGCTTAAAGTTTAGAGAGATTTACATCCTATTAGTACTGCAGTATCAAACTATTCAATCCATAGATGTTAAAACACGTAAAATATGTGCACTGCATGTATACACCTCTCAGCCTTGTCTAGACCACCAGCTCAAAAAGAACTGAACGCATGGCTATTTTGTATTTTTTGAGGACTCATCAGTGCAGTCGTTCGTGTTCGCTGCTGCCATAAGTCTCTGGGAGCCAAATATGTGGGAGGCTTGTTACCTTCACAATAAGGAGATCCATTAACTAGTCTCAAGGCAACAATAATTCAACCATTCATTAAATACGCACCTGCGAGTGTGAAGACATGATTTAATATTAAGAAAAAACACTTACAATTATAATAGTAATGGTTATTATATTCAGTCAGTCTGATGTACCATGGTGGGCTCAAACTCCAGACAGGTGGCTCCCATTGCGTTGTCTAAATCCCCTTTCTTGGCAGGGTCGAGCGCGAGGCGTTCCATGGGCTCCGTCATCCTGCGCACGTCCCACCACAGCACCTGCCACACGGACGCCCAGACATCTCACCCTCCACCCTGGACAACCGCCCACCCGCCCGCGCGCCAAGCCTATGCAACTCATGTCGCCTCCACAGTGCTGCTGCTGGATTACAGGCGTGTGCCCGGCTAATATATGACTATATCTTATTAACACAGGGGACTCTTAGCTCAAGGGCAGGGTGGCAAAGTGGTAACACTTGTGCCTCATCCTGGGTTTGATTCCCAACTCTCTCCCTGTTATGCATGGGGTTTCCTCTGGGTTCTTAGTTTACTACCATAGCTAAACACACCCACGCGCGCAATGCTACTGGTATTGGCGAACACATCCCAAGGATGAGAAATTATCTGCAAATTACTCAATTGGGATAACATGTAGCAGCAACATCGCCCCCTCCTGTTGAAACTTGGAAGGACCCTCCTGAAAAAGAGTATTGAGACTTTCCTGGGTAAACAAGCATCATATTACTTAATAATAAATAACTACACTAACCAGGGGAATGCTGGGGATGGGGGTTGAGTATTTATCCTCACTCAATGGGTCTAGAGCAGTGTTCCCAACCATTGTGCACCCGCGGGCCCAACTGTAAACCCTCCAAAAACTTCTGCGAGTCACCGTGCAGTAAAAACGTGGTGTTTTGTGACACAAAAACCAGATGTGCAACAGTTCCGCCGATTTACCACCAGTGGCCAGTGGACCGCAGCTTAGGACCCACTGTTCTAGATGGTACGTTGAATTTGTGATTATGACATGATCGTCCACCACTGGATTGTGTTTCCTGCAAGGTCTACAAGCACATGTGATCACGATTCACTTCCACTGGCTGTACAAAGAAGTTAGTATCACCAAAGTGTTTGCATCTCACGTGGTTCCAGTTTCTGCTCTATGCAATTCATCAGTATGAGGAATAACCAAGAACACTTCCAAGTGCAGTATTACTGTCCACCGTTAGCCTTCACTGACCACCGGCGAGGAGCGAACCGTGCAACACACCTGCCCGTCGGTGGAGCACGAGAAGAACTCGGTGCCGGTCTTGGACTGCTGCCAGATGACCTTGTAGACGGGGTCCCGGTGGCTGTGCTCGATGGCCGTGGTCTCCACGGGCTGACAGCCCTTGCGTGTGTCCCAATAGGCTACAGACGTGACAAGGAACGTGGTTTTTATTTTTATTAAGACATTCTGTGACTGTTGAAAGTAATATTAATGTAGGCTTATATTTCCGAGGAATAGTGGCTCTTCGATGATGACTGATGTTAAACTTTGACTACCATGTGATATCAGTGGCTTTATGTGATTGGCCTCCAGGTCAGAAGGCACGCGTGTCCAGCCACACAATACCTGCGACTGTCGGTGATTGGTTGCCAACACTTTTCATATGAAATCAGTGCAATGGACAGGGACAGCATAACCCCAGCAGGAGACTGCACATGCGGTGATAACCACAGCACAGCAGGAGTCAAGCGTGCCGGCAAATCCTCTACCTTCACGGTGAGGAGCTTCGACTTCAATTGTGCTCATCGTCAGCCTTTAATACATGAATTTAAAGTCACGTCTGACTCTACTTTCATAGCATCTATGGCATTCCACACAATTGTCTGGCTGATAGTAAACATTTTATACACATGGGCAGCCTCCAATAATAGCAGACACTTAGACGACATAACCTGCAGTTATGATGTCATGGTGCCCTGTGGAATCAGTGGGATTGGGGAACGGTAGTGAAGTGGTTACCGTACTGCGCTACGAACACGGAGACCCGAATGCTATTGCTGCTCATGACCAACAACAGTGACGATTATCTTCTGAACCAATCCTGTGCCTCCCCTAGGTCGATTCAGCGTCAAATGAGTACCTGGTAGAATGTGTAAACATCACCACTAGGGAGACAGAGGCAGCTGGATGTGGTGCTGCGACACCCCTTGTGTGCCGTGCCGTCCTTAATAGGTGCTAGCTAACAGCACTTGCCCCTACAATCCGTTAAGGCTGTACTGGGGATCTTTGTCTCTATATAATCGGCTAACATTCTATCTGCATCAAATCTGTGATGAGAATTCCCATCACAACAGAGAATGTACGCACGCCGGAACACAAATAGATTTAAACTAGATTCGAAGCTTTCGTGACTTCAGGAATTACTCTTTAGTTCTTTCGGTAAAGTCACGTAGAAAATATATTTAAATAATAATAAAATACGACGTTTCGGTTGTAACACAAACAACCATCATCAGGTAAGGATGAATGATAAAACACAGACACGGGAACAACACAGGCAGACACGCATGCAGAGAGAGACACACACAAAGACACACCGGGCGTGACACACACCAAGACGAACAGAAGGACAACGAATCTGTGCCGAGGCCTTAAATAGAGAGGGGGGGGAGGGGCCGGGGCAGAGAGAGGACTGGGGAGGTGGGACCAGCTGACGCACGAGGGGACAATGAGGGAGCAGTGTGGAATTCCGGACCACAGTGGCCGAAGGAGGGACGATGGTTTAGAGCAAGAAAATCGAAAGTTTGAGAAAGCAAATTTAGTAAAATTAAGAAGTGTAACGCAATGCACCACAGAGGGTCGGTTAACACACAGTTAACGCATAGCCTGGTTGATTAACGTTTTTCCAAAGATTGCTGAATTAGAAGTAAAGTGTGATAAAACACAGACACGGAAACAGCATAGGCAGACCCACATGTAGAAAGAGACGCAACACAAAGACACACGGAAACAGCATAGGCAGACCCACAAGCAGAAAGAGACACACAACACAAAGACACACGGAAACAGCATAGGCAGACCCACAAGCAGAAAGAGACACACAACACAAAGACACACGGAAACAGCATAGGCAGACCCACATGTAGAAAGAGACGCAACACAAAGACACACGGAAACAGCATAGGCAGACCCACAAGCAGAAAGAGACACACAACACAAAGACACACGGAAACAGCATAGGCAGACCCACAAGCAGAAAGAGACACACAACACAAAGACACACGGAAACAGCATAGGCAGAACCACATGTAGAAAGAGACACACAACACAAAGACACGCCGAACTGTGCTGTATGAACTGATGGCAAATACACGTTAAAGGGCCCGCGTAATCATACACGCGCGGTTGCTATGTACGAACCAATCTGGCCATTGTATGAGCCAGCCACGAGGATGTGTGAGTCCTTCGGGTTGTACTCCAGGCACACGAGGGGAGATGCTGGCTTCAGAGTGAGTTCCGGCTTATTGGGGGTTTCTGAGCGCAGAGAAAACAAGCATCGTTACCTAACATGAGACATGATTGGAACATGTTTCAATGATAATAATAATAATTTAAACTTGTGACGCGCACAGAATAAGTTCACTCTCGTAGAGAGAACACTCAGAGATGCAAAGAGCTACCACAGACATGCAGGAAGGCAGCCACCACATGATTAGCCGGCAGCCCCAATTTCCCTCGTTAAATCTTGACTCAAAGCTTTCGTGACTGCAGGAATTCATACTCTTTGGGTCTTTCGGTAAAGTCACGTAGAAAAAAAAAATCACGACGTTTCGATCGCAACGCATGCAATCGTCTTCAGGTGAAAAATACAGCAGGCGGACTGCTGAGGCAAGAATAAATGTAACGAGAGAGCTACTGCAGCCAAAGGTTAGATAGGTTTGAGATGGGATCAACCCATGAGTAAGTGGGCGGGGCTAGAGATGGAATTTGCAGTAAATGTAAGATCGCAGAGCTAGATATACCTCGGCTATTATGCTACTTGAGATGAGCATGTCAATGTGTTAATGTAACTCCACGACTACGGTGCTAAAGAAGCCATTGTAGTGCTCGAGATGAGAGATTAGCATGTCAATGTGAGACGGCTCCCGCAGCAGCGGCTGTGTTAATGAGAGACATTCAGCCTATTAAACAACGAGCGCCACCACCGCATCGAGGAAAAGGGAGCAGCAGCTATGTTAGTGAGACATTTAGCCTGTTAATGTGAAGACATTAAACAAGGTAATGTAACTCAGAGAGTCGGAAAAACCTGCTAACATAGGCAGGTAGGATGGAAGCATCACAGCCAGTGATGACTTTACCTGGTAAAATAACGTCATTCCAATGATTGCTCAGTTTGTACCCATCTTCTCAGTTGAAATTGTCTGTATTTATATATCTGGATGGCTTCATGAACAAATCTTTGTTGATTGCCAGTGGGTTTGCATAGTACCTTCGTCTTGGAGAAATCTATTTCATGTGTGCCCACAGCGTTAAAACAATGATCAGCCACGGCAGAGGTGTTGGTCCTACCGTGTTTCAGATCCACCTTGTGTTCACGAACACGGTCTGAGACATTTCGCTTAGTTCCCCCAATGTAACTACTGCCGCAGGCACAGTTGAGTTTGTAGACGCCGGGGTATTGCATGTCAGGGATCACATCCTTCACAGATGGGATCAGATCACGAATTTTATGTACTGTGTTAAATCGGACCTGGATCTTGTATTTGCTCATGATTTTGGAAATATTTTAGTGATCCCTGCTATGTATGGCAAGGTGATGGTTTTGATTGGGTCCTGAGGTGGTTCTCTCCCAACAGTTGGGGTGACAGCTTTACGGATTGTGCAATCCTAGTTAAGTTTAAAGTTATTTTGTATAACCAGGTGAAAACTCAAGGGATGATGATGAGTCTCGATTGCAAGAGTGATCCAAGTCACCAAAATGGAAAAAAAAATATGAAATAAAGTTTCAGCAGTGAAGCAAATAGAAATTAGAACCAAACCACTGTGTTGTCGCAGGGGAAATTGAAGATATTGCACCAATATAAATCAACGTGAAGTATTTTCTGCAAAGTGAGTTGGCTCAGGCAGATTCGTTGCAGACCAATTATAGCACAATTCCAATTAAGTTACAAAAGTATTGTGTATGGTGACTACTGTAATAACATGTAAAGAGCCAAGTATGTATGTGATGTATGTGGTGGTGGTGGTGGTAGCAGTTTTCTGCAGCTTGCCACTCGCCTATGTCCCAAATGTAGGAGTCGGAGCTTGTGCCCGACGTGGCCCCTTGGAATTCCAGACAGGAGTAAGCCACTGCCAGCTTACGTCCTGCATCGGGGTGCCATGACAGGTGTGTGGCTGTTCGTTTCAGCTCATTTGGATCTCTTCCAGAAAAAAAGAAAGCACAACATTTACATCTGTGGCAACAATCTTCGGCAATGTGAACAGAGACAGGGTGTATGTATGTTGAACTTATTTCGCGTCGTACGCAGCCAACTGCGCTAATCGGAGAATTTTCCTTCAATTAGATAATTATGCATGAGAAGTACTGCCCAAAAGCAGAAGGTCAATGTGAAGACAGCAAGAGATCAGAAAAATCTGGATACCCACTGAAAAACGTTGATTGTTTTAGCAGAAGGCTGCTCCTCCTCCACCTCCACAGACTCAGCCTCAAAGTACTCCTGGTAGATATTGATGGCATTATTCTGCTTCACACAGTGCTCCATCATCTACGGGTGAACAACGCAAAAAGACAAGGTTGCACTAATTACCCTATGTGTGCACGCAGCCCTTGGCAAAGTAAATTGTGTTCTGGAAGCATGCCAGCTATTTGCTTGTATTAACTCATTACTTGCATAATCCTAGGGAAGGCTACAGATTGTCAAGTGATTCAAAGACTGACTTAACAATGTCATGGTCATGTAAATGAACAATACAAATCAGCAATATCCCTTTTCCTTTGTGGGTCTGATACTGGACATAACGATCCATTTCCGATTGTCTACATATGTGATAATAAATAACAATGAAACCCAAAATATACAAAGTAACACAACAAAGTAGGTCATCTAAACCTTTAAACAAATCATCAGATTTGGTTTATTTATTGTGTTAAAAGCACCATAATTTTACACACTCGTGACAAGAAATTGCAACGTTCCACAACCATCGTGCCAAGTGAGTGCAGCATCTTTCGCTGCATGCAACGCTTACAGTGCCCAAGTGTGTGATGATGTTCACGTAATTTTCATCCTTCTCCACTTTCTTGCGGTAGCGAATGGTCTGCTCTGCTTCCTGCGGATTGACATCTTTTGGCCAGCCACCTTCCACATGGTTTACACCTTTACTTTCTGTGTCAAAGCGTTCCGTGTTCACCTGTGAGATGAAATGAGATGGAAAGTGACAACAATTTTACAATGACAATCGCAAGAAAACCACAATTCTATCTATAATCGAAGTTAAAATACTTGTCATTATGCCCCATACAGTAGGCCCGTGCTTCTCAAATTATTTCATTCTACATTACTCACTTTCGAGCTTGCTCGTCCTGTACGGCACACCATGTGGGCCTGGGTGGGTAGGAATGCGTTGTAGCTAAGAGGGGGTTGAGAGGGCTGGGAGTTGACGGTCGTGTGCCACACTGTGCATGCGTACATACATTATGTATGTTGAACTTCTTTCGCACCGTACATAGCCAATCGTGCTATCGGAGCTGCATAGGTGACCAATGGCGAGGGGAGGCCTGTCCTCGAATTCAGGAAAATGGGCGTGGCACACCTGGGGCCTTGCCGCGGCTGCACAGCAGCTGTGAAGGACTACAGCAGGGCAACGCAGCCGAGCGGCACTTGTGAGACGCGAACGGCTGCACCTACCTCGTGCTCGGACATCTCCTGTACGCACTGCACTCCGATGTCACACGGGTTGCGAGAAATGTAGTCGGCGGCCAGGCTCGGATCGGGCAATATGTCAACGTGCAGCTCGCCGGGCGGTCAGAGAAGTTGCATTGGCGTCCAAACTCATTGCGCTTCTTGGTGTACACGTACACAATCTCCATCTCCACTCGTTGTGTCAGGCCGGCCTGATAGGCGGCACCCAGACACTACCACGTTTCCGCTTCTGTTTCTAACCTGCAGAGAAACACAAAGGGTACAATGAAACACTTTTTGTATTACTCAAGCAAACTCTTTTTTATTTTACCAGGTAAGGCCCACTGAGCTGTATAGGTATTTTAAAGTGGCCTGGCCACAAATGATAGCTCAACAAAGTGGCTTATCATCACGTGGAAATTTATACAGCCAAATACTCTAAATGCATGTCCTCAGCGTGGAGGGAAAGAGTGGAGAACCCCGAGAAAAAACCACGCGCCCACGGGGAGAACATGGAAACTCCAAATATACAGCAGCATTCAGCGTCGGGATTGAAGCCACGCTTTCCTCCATACCAGGCGAGGTAGTTAACACCTCGCCACCGCAGCACCCATTAACATGTACATTCAATGCACAAGTATTAGCTATTCGTCCAAGGGACAGAGCTGGAATTGCTACCACCTAAAGTAGCAAGACTTTAGTCATACCGATGTATTTATTCGGCGAGTACGAGTGAATGACTTGCCCCGCTCACTAATTCCACATGGTTCTCGCACCATTCACTCACTACTGCTGTTCACATAAAGACATTGAGACCACTCTCGTCATGTGACCTCAGGTGGGTACCGACAAGTGAGAACATCCGGTCTGGGCTGGTGCACGACACGAACCAGTGGCTGGAAACGAATCTCATCTCGGGGAACAAGCGTGGTTAATGTACGGGAGGCATGCGGGACACTATCCACAATAAATCAGCACCACCATTTCCTGGCCACCTTTACTGCCCCGCATCTACAACATCCGGGAAGCCCTGTTAGTAACCACACACTAACCAGACCCTCACATGCTTAGCTTGTATGAGATCCGTGACTTACTCATATGTGAACGGATCATTCAAACAAACACTTGGTTGACGATACAAGTGTGGCTGAAACACGTACACAGTGTTAGTGTTGTGGTTGGTGGACACACACCCACGTGGAGGATACCGGCCGTACACCGCTAAGTGACGGTGACGTCACCGCGGCGCCTGTGCCAGGCCAGGTGCACATTGAGGCCCACGTGAAGTGTCGAAGGCTCGCTGCCAGGAGGTCACGGAACAGGCCCTGGTGGTATACCATGGGTTGTTGACTAGACTGAGATGACTTGCAGATGCACAAATGGTGTGCGGTGCACACAGACACACTCACAGGGGGTGGACACTCATAGGGGGTGGACACACACAGGGGGTCGACACTCACAGGGGGTGGACACACACAGGGCGTGGACACTCATAGGGGGTGGACACACACAGGGGGTCGACACTCACAGGGGGTGGACACTCACAGGAGGTGGACACTCACAGGAGGTGGACACACAGGGGTTGGACACTCACAGGAGGTGGACACACACAGGGGGTGGACACTCATAGGGGGTGGACACACACAGGGGGTCGACACTCACAGGGGGTGGACACTCACAGGAGGTGGACACACACAGGGGGTGGACACTCACAGGGGGTGGACACTCACAGGAGGTGGACACACACAGGAGGTGTACACTCACAGGAGGTGGACACACAGGGGGTGAACACTCACAGGGGGTGGACACTCACAGGGGTGGACACACAGGAGGTGGACACTCACAGGGGGTGGACACACACAGGAGGTGGACACACAGGGGGTGGACACACACAGGAGGTGGACACCCACAGGAGGTGGACACTCACATGGGGTGGACACTCACAGGGGGTGGACACACACAGGAGGTGGACACTCACAGGGGTGGACACTCACAGGGGGTGGACACTCACAGGGGGTGGACACTCACAGGGGTGGACACTCACAGGTGGACACTCACAGGGGGGTGGACACACAGGAGATGGACACACACACAGGTGGACACTCATAGTGGGTGGACACCACAACCTGGTTGACCGGCGGTCGTCCTCCCGGCCGAGTCGCCTCACCAAGTCGCCTCGTCCGCGTCCTCGGCGTCTCCATGGCGACGAGGCGGGGGGGGGCGGGGCCGTCCCCCGTTGCCAGGCGCGAGGTTTTCCCTCCGTCTGGGCGCCCCGCCCCCACGCGGCAGTGACGCGTGAAGTGGGGGCGGGGCCTGTCGCGA